ATGGTGAATCCTGAAAAAAAGACAGGAAAAGACCAAGACACTCGTCTTTGGAAGAAGGATTAAAATGCCAGTCTTAATGTTTTAGGAAGGTGAAAAGGAAATCCAGGACAGAAAAAGAAAGATAATTGTAAAAAAAAGGTGTGGATTAAAATAAGAAAGCAAACATTTGGTATCCTGCAGTTTTATGTAGGTTACTCAGGCAGGTAGAGGCTCTAATGGGACATGATGTTTCATTCATCTGTAAATCAAACAGATGGAGACAGAGCAGGTTTGAGTTATGGAGGGAGAAGGAGATGTGAGAGAGATGGGATATATAAACTGATAGACGGTGAAGTGAGGACTTTTAAACCCACCGGTACACACTTACACTTCTATATCCAGAACAGTAGCCTAGTTAACGTATCCCAAAGTGTCCCAAAACGTACTAAAGAAGAATAACTTTAGAATAAAAAGCAAGTTTAGAAGTGTTTTTTTTATTTATTTTTTTTATATGCACGACCCTTTTCTGAAGTTTAAGACCTTCAAATCAAAGAAGAAACAAGATAAAGATTCCCCTAAATAGATGAGGGCGATGGTGATGATCATAATTAAGATCAGAGAGTTGGTATTAAAGAGGATTATCCAATTCTGTTCCCCCTCCCCCCCTGGCAAGAGCAAGGACCTTGATAACAGGGCAACTCTGTGCTGCAGTGAAGTCGGGACATTTGGGATTTAACGGCAATCGTGTTATACATCATCAAAAAGGAGATGTTGGAGACAAAGGGGGTTCAACCTTGGAGGATTGAAGGTGGTCTCTTAAGTTTGAGGTGAATCCCATGAGCAGAGATTTGAGTTGCTATAGCAGACCCCCTGTGGTGTCACAATGTTTATTTATTAAAGAGCAGCTATGTAATATCAGCTTTTCAAAAACATTTGACTTTATGTTTACCCCTTTGATTAGGACACGTAAAATGAAGTTCACAATGTCTGTAACTTTCTTTACAACACTTCCTAAAGAGTGACACAACTCGTAGCATGTCGGAGCTTTTCTGTCCTTGCACACACATTGAGGCAAAAAAAAATGTGTGCGCACAAGATCTTTTTTTTTTTTTACTTCTTGGGACTTCAGGGGCTCCGTAGTTTCTATGAAATTAAAGCTGATTGGTCACCCTGTCAGACAGAGCAGCAGAGCTACATGCTTCTCTAAAAGTTGTAGTTTCAGTTGTTTTTTTTTCTTCTGATACCTTCATTACAACTTCTGAGAAAGAGAACTGGGAGGGTAAAAGAAGACTTCATTGCATCATCTGTAATTCAGTTAATCAGTGAAGTGCATGAACAACACTGCAGACTGAAGTCTCCGTTAACAGACTGGTGCCGTCTCATATTAAACAGCTCCAATGTGCATTCAGTGGGCAAATGTCCGCACATCTCATCACCTTTAGAAATAGATCTCATCATCTGTGTAAAGGGAAGCCTTTTAGGGTTATTAATACTATCATCCGGACAAACTTTAGTCACTCAGTGCTTGGCCAGGCTATCGTTAGCTCAGAGACAGCGCACTCATGCTCCTCAGAGAACCGGGGTTACAAAAGTAACCTAAAGTTATCTTGTTGGCTCGTGCTCTCGCGTGTCACTCCACACTGTGCGCTCCTCTCGCTCTCTGCCTGGCAGCACACTCTTGCTTGTATTTTCACAGACAGATAAGATGCACGGTGGGGAGATGTATCATAGATTTTGAATTTCTGACAGCCCACCATGAACATTTTAGTCCCGTCCCGTCTCGTTAATGACCAAAAAAACGTACCTGTTGTCAGAGTTTTCATTATTAAACATCTATTTTCACTCGTCAGTGTCTCGTCTTCATCATGGAAAAGGGTCATCATTAAAAACATTCATCATCGAATGAATGATTAACAGCAGTGAGCATTAAAATGGATGAATAAAAGATGAGTTTGTGCAGCATGAGAGCATGACGTCATTTTACAGCGTGACTTCTTTCAGCAACCATGACTGACTCCCCAGCATCTCTGTGAAAGAGCAAACGATCTCCAGCGCAGATTAGAGGCCGTGAATATGAACTATGTGAATGTCACAGTCTGTCACAATCAGGGTTATGTGGCACACTGGCCTTGACATTTTCACTCATTCAAAGTTAAACTTGAGTTCAGCAGTATAGGCAGGTGAGACCCAAGGATAGACATTTACAAAGATTTAAGTTGAAGACTGGAATTAACAAATCATTATTGAGGATTTGAGTGCATGACAATGGCTCATTATCTGCGTTAATCAGACTGGTGTTTAACCTCTCAAATTAAGGCAAGGCGTTTTAGCACATTTCAGCAAAAAGGCAATTCAAAACATGATGACAGCGGGGCGACGGTCTAGTAGTTAGTGTGCGCGCTCCATGTAAAGAGGCTATAGTCCTCAATGTGGTCAGCCCAGGATTTAAATTGGACCTGGGGCTGCTTTCCTGTGTCATCCCCCACTCTCTCTCTCTCTCTCTCTCCCTGATTTCTGACTCTATCCACGGTCCTATCTCTAAAACTTAAAGCATAAAAAGCCCCCAAAATAAACCTTTAAAAAACAAAGTGATGACAAAAGGGGAAAAAAAGCAACACATTCAAAGTAAAATTTAAGAAAATGGAAAATTTTCTTAAATTTTTTTGACACTTGAAAAATAAAATTACTTAAAAGTTTTTGAGTGTATTGTGGACTTTGCACCTCCCACTCCCCCCAGTTTCGACTTAACTCTGGTTAACGCTTCTGATTTGTTGATTTTCATATTTGTTCATTGCCTGTCTTTGTTCCATATCTGAAACTTTTCTGCTGCTTTGTAAAATTCTGTAAGACTCTCCTGAAAAATAGAATCTTGGATCTCAATGAGAATATGTTCCTGTAGAAAAAAGGTAGAAAAAAATATCCAGGAACATTTGTTTCCCAGCATAATCTCAGACTTCATTCTGATGGACATGCTTTGGCTCGGCTCCCCCCAGAGACCCTTAAAGAGGTTCATAGCTCCCTCTTGTGGTAAATGAGTGACTAACACCCAGAGGAGTGACCGCTCCTCTTCAAATGTTGTGTGTCATGTTTGAGCATAATGTGAGCGTCAGTGTTTGTGTGCCTCATCAAAAGGATTCTTTTCATGCATAATCACGTTCATACTTCCTGGACTCGTTCTGATGTGACAACAGTGAATCCCTCAGCAAATGACTCGGGCTGTTTGGAGCTAAAAGCCTGTTATCAGCCTCTCAACTTTAAGGGTGGATTAAAGGGAGTGTTCCTATACTTTTCTGTCTTCTTCTTTTTAATAGCCGCAGACAAATCCCCTCCTACCCGCTACAGGGGATATGATTATATGAGCAGCGCCTTAAGTGTGAGACTCCTCAGAAAAAGTTTCGCAGGCGCTTTCATGTGAAATATGTACTGTTTGTTTGTTTGGCTGCTTTGAAGCTTTGAAGTGTATTTCTTCTTCTTTTGCTGCTGCTGCCCTGTTTTCCTCCTCTCCTCTCCTCTCCTCTCATCTCCTCTCCTCTCCTCCTTTTCTGTTTTTTCCTCTCCTCTCCTCTCCTCTCCTCTCCTCTCCTCTCTCCTTTTCTGTTTTTTTTCCTCTCCTCTCCTCTCCTCTCCTCTCCTCTCCTCTCCTCCTTCTCTGTTTTTTTTCTCTCCTTTCCTCTCCTCTCCTCTCCTCTCCTCTCCTCTCCTCTCCTCTCCTCCTTTTCTGTTTTTTTCCTCTCCTCTCCTCTCCTCTCCTCTCCTCTCCCCTTCCCTCCTCTTATCCTCATTTTTTTCAGTCTTCATCTGCTTGCGTGCTTGCCCTTTTCTTCATGTATTGCCATCATTCATCCCTTGTGCTCTGAACTTGTCTTCACCCACCTCAACCATCGGTTAAATATTTCTTCGTCCCTTCCTCTGCTTTAAAACACGGATCAGGAACAAGAAATTCCCCCCAGCTGCTCTCTCTCTGAAATGCCATTAAAGTCTCAGCTGGATTGAAAAAGGATAACAGAACTCTTGTGAAATAATTAACAGCCTTATTAAGTTTTAAAAGGTGATGCTGCTCTTTTCTCTTGCAGAAATGTGTCTCTGTCTTCCTCTGCCTCCGTCTAGACACATGATCATGTTACACAAGCTGGGGGGCGATAGAAAAGTTTTGTTTGAAAGTGAACCTATAGAGAGTGTCCTTTGAGTCTGTAGAAGTGAACGGCTGAACACAATTAAAGAATAAAGGAGAGAAATAGAGAGCTAGCCTGAAGTCTGCGACACATTTCACCTTGTTTAACAGAGAAAAATGTGGCTTTACTCTCCACCACATTCTGAATCCTCATTGCTGTAACAAAAGACTGTGTATAAAGATGAACAACGCGCCTCAACCTTCTCCTATTGTACAGAAGTGAAGCCAAAATACCCATGTGACGGCTGCTGAGTTATTGTGCATTCAGGCCAAAGTCTAAGCTCTATATGCAAACAGACACAATGTCACTTCCACGAAACAAAACACACATCTACTTAAGCTGTTTTTAAATATGCAGTTCTTAAAGTTGTTTGAGAATTTGGGGGCGTTTGTTCACACATGCACCTCACAGCTGGAGACTTTCCCTATCAGATTGGAGTCGGGGGGGACACATAGCATTTATTAATGCTATGTGTAGTTCAACAGAATCACAGAATCGCAGAATAAAAGAGCAGAGAAGAATATATCGGCAAATTGGAAATTGAATGCGTGCTCAAGGTGAATTCTTCTGAATGCATTCTCACATCAGCTCATTCGGACTTCCTGTATTTCGATTTTTAAGTTCAACCCATCTGTTAACATGGAGGAGGCGGGACTTATCACCTACTGTATACTACAGCCAATCAGTAGCAGGACTCTTAATATTTTTGCTTCACTTAAGGCGAGTTGTGCGCTGTCTATCTTTATACAGTCTCTGCTTGTCACTGTTTATCTGCCTTTCCTCTTCAAGTAGATCCTGATGTTGACTGATATTCACCTTTATCTCACCCTCTTTGTGTTCTCTCTCTAGCTGCTCCAAGCACAGACGACGTGGCGCTCTACGTGGGCATCGTCATCGCAGTGATCATGTGCCTCGTCATCTCCGTCATCGTGGCGCTTTTTGTCTACCGCAAGACGCACCGCGACTTCGACTCAGACATCATCGACACCTCGGCGCTGAACGGAGGCTTCCAGTCTGTTAACATCAAAACAGCCAGATCGGGTAAGGATTGTTCCACTTCATCCAGAGGTTGAAAGAAAACCCCCGGAAAACTCAAGTCGCACTGATACTCATTTTAAAGACTGCTCCGACTCTTTGTTCAAAACTTCTCGCCTGGAAGAGAAGTTTTACACTCTAGAAGTTAAAACCACAGGAGGATTTTTTCAAGTGCTCTTAAATGTTTTTTTTTAAATAGTAGATGTAGGAGTATAAAAGCAAAGTTTTAAACTCTGTGACTACGGGGAATACAAGAAATGAGCAAACATGCTAATTTTTGTTTCCAAGGAACAGTTGGATCTTTTTATACATATAACTGAACACAAAAATTAGCAATGCAATTTTTTTAAAAGTACAAGGTCTCATTCTTGACTTGGAATTGAGCACTTTGTTACTCGGTCTTGTGCATTACTCTGGATATTTAACTGAGACCACCACTGATTTATTAGTCCTCATTATTACTCTAATAGGAAGGAAAACATCCCTCTCTAAATGCAACCATTAACTTCAATCGCAATTTGAACATTTTCCAACCAGTAATGGTCGCTACCTTTCCAGCCCCCTTTGCACAAGTGGGAGTGGATGGAAAAGACACTAAGAGAGGCTGTATGTATGTCTGGGAGCGAGGAGGTCCATTAAAACTTAAGTAAATCAAGAGGATGCAGCTTTTGGGGTTATGTTTTTGAGGTGATTGGCAACCACACCTTCATGGGTTTATTATTGGAGGTGAACTTGGATTTATGTGTTTTGCTACTGCCGTTCTTTCAGGCTTGGCATATGATGTCACCATTTTTAGAGCGGTTCCCAATTGATTCATTTGGATATTTTATGAATCAAACACCACCTCTTAGCTCGCTGAATGTTTACCTCTTTGGAAACAGTGCCGTTAAACTGAGTACAGGACTCAAACTTGAGCCGACTCAAGCCAATGTTCAGAACTCGGACTCGACTATTGCACTGATGACTCAGACTTGGACTTGGACTTGATTCGGCTCATACTCCACCTTGAGGATTTGGACTTGGACTTGGGAAGTCCTTGGGGACTCGACTGAGATACAGGTAACGGGGACTCAGACTCAAGGTTTGGTGACTCACAACAATACTGTTTGGAAATCTATGAAGTTGTCTGATGGTGCTCAAAAACATAAAAGTGGAAATGGTCCAACTTGTGCTTGCTGACACGTTTAAGTTATTAAGATATATTTAAGATTGAAATATAGATTTTTCATATATATTTATGGTCTTGGTCTCAATCCCTTTATGTTGTGTTCTTGGCCTTGGTCTGGGTACTCTCTGGTCTTGGTCTTGACTCGGTCTCTGTTAGTTTGGTCTTGGGTACAACACTACAAAATGCAGTTTTTCACATGTAAAGTCTTGTCTTCTTTTCTTGAAGTTAGACAAGGGAAGTTTCTTTCTTTGCATAATTCAATGTAAGTTTCTACCTAGATACTCAAAGTGTCAGAGCTCTGCAGCTAAACATTACCCAAAGGACTTCTGGGAACTTTTTTTTGAAGAACACTCTGTGATGACACTCGCTGTTTAAGGGGAACTTGTCTTCAAGTATCATCCTCTTTAATAGACTCTGAAGAGAGGACCTGAGATTTGATGATACCAGATAAATAGATAAAGAGCGGACATGTTTTGATAGCTGGATACAGGATGACTGGCGCTCCTTCACTTTTAAAGCTCTGATACTGTATCATTTATTTGTCTCCCTCTGGTCTCCTGCTGTCTCTCTTTACTCGCCTGGATTCGTCTCTGTCTCCACCAGAGACGACTTTCCTCCATCAAGGAGTCTCTCTTTGTGGTTCTTCGTCTCTGTCTCACTCATTCTTCCTCTCCTGTTAACATTTCCTGTTTATCAGCATCCTCCTTTCTTCATCTCTGTCTCCATCTTCCCCCGTCACCGCGTCTCCTCTCTCTCTCTCTCTCGTCATGGTGACTCCTCCAGGAGCTCACACTCCCTCTCCGTTTGTCTTCCTGTTACAGTGGAGACGTCTTTCTATACCGCCTGTCTGTGTTGCAATTTCCCGGACTACAGTATGTGTTTGGGCAAATGGATAAGGCAACAAGGAAGCACGCCACTTGAACACTTGAACACCCGTGTGCATGCATTGGATAGCTTACTGGAAATGCCGAGATTAGCCAGGGAGTGTGGATGAATCGAGTAAAAGTCAACTGGTGCCGTGCACTTTTGACCTGTGTGAGAAAAAATCTTTAGTTATCATGATCACACAAAAAAACATTTGGCACAAAAACTGGAAAAAGAAAAAAAAAAAAAAAATCAATAAGGCTGGCAAACATGCTCAGAGATACATCCATGTAGGCTGGAGCACATCAACAAATACACTCACACAGCATCACAGTTTTTTGTTTACTGTAAATATGTTGGCTTTTGATAATTTATAACAATGCTTGAATAACATTTAAATCGCACGAATCCTGTTTTCACACATGCACTCAAATGCACTGAAATCTTGCTCATCACCCGCGGCAACTACACCTACACTTCTACAATTCACTTAGCAGACGTTTTATCCAAAGCGACGTACATCAGAGAGTAAGACAACACAAGCAAGGATCTAGAAAAAAGGGAACAATGTCAGTAAGAGCAAACGATCAGCTTTGAGTCTGATTGGACGCACAGGTACTGACAGGAAGTGACCAGAGGCAAAGCACAACATTGAGGGCAGTTCTTGAGAGCTCTAATCAGTATAGAAACATCTTATAAGTCGTCGTTATCAAACAAAAACCATCGTCATTACCATCATCATCATCAATAATATGGAGACCATCATCATTAAGTTAGTAGGTATTCATGAAAGAGCTGGGTCTTTAGCTTTTTCTTAAAGGTGCAGAGGGACTCTGCAGATCAAATGGAGTTTGGAAGTTCATTCCGACAGAGGAGAAGAGTCCAGTCAGAGACTTAGGACCCTGTTGTGAAGGTTGTATCAGACGCCTTTCATTGGCAGAGCGTAGTGGGCGGGAAGGAGTGTAGACCTGGATGAGAGAGTTAAAGTAAGGAGGAGACGTTTTTGTCGCTGTTTTGGAAGCAGTATTACCTGCTGTGTTCACACATCGGCTCACCCAGACACCCAGAAGGGGGCTGGCAACCAAAAAAAATGCATGAAGTCAAGGAGAAAAATAAGGCCATTCGCGTTCACACAAGCAGCTCACCCTTAGGACCCTGTTGTGAAAACACAACTCAAAGCATTTTCAATAATATGCTTATGCTCACAGTTTTATGGGGAAAAATTCAAAATTCAAATCATGGTATACACCGGAATATGAGGGCAGAAAGTAAGCAAAGTAAATTGGTACACAGTGGGCGGTAATAATTGAATGTGTGTGTGTATAGGTGTGCAAGTTCTTGTGTGTGTGTGTGTACATCGGTGAATGCTTTTGCAGAGCGGAGATTGGGTGACATTTTAACAGGAAGGCATTAGGATGCTCGTCACTCTGCGTTGAGGGAACATCTTCGATTACTATTAATGAAGAATTATGTCCCTGCATGTCTCACTCTCTCTTTATCCCACCCTGCCCTCTCTCTCTCTCTCTCTCTGTGGCTTCCGTTAGCTGTTAATTAAATTTCAGCAGGGATGATTTGGCAGGAATACCCGCTGGCTTTAAGGCTAAACAGCCTGGTGATAGAGAGCAGAAGAGAGTGATAGCTGACAGATGTGTATGTGTGTTTGTTTGTGTTTTTGCGAGTGTGATAATGAGGGATTTTTAAAATTAGAATAGATGTGCTGGTGGAACTAACAACAGGATTTCAGGCACTACGCCCAAAAAAAAAAAAGTAGAGCCTGGTGCGAACAAATCTGGAGCTGTTCTCAGTAGGTAACCGTCCTTCCTGTGATCCCAATCCCAATTAAATTTGGGATATTATTGGACTGGACTTCTGTGCAGAGACATGCTCATGCAGGGCTCCACTTTGGTGTTTTTCTCCCTTTTAGAGAAGGTTTTGTTCATCTTGAAAAAGGGCTTTGGCAAGCTCATCAAAAGTGTCTTTAAAGATGAGTGAGCTAGTCGTCTCATTGGGTTGCTTGGAGCGCAGTCCCTTGATTAGCTTTAGTCAAGTAAATACCCATGTAGGATTTACTGTGTTAATATTGCCAAATGTTTTATTAAAACAACGAGGAGCTCTCTGCTGCAGCTTCTTTCCAATTTCCTAGAAGGGAGTGAGGCTAACCGTCTGCCTGATGGAATTAACTGAACTCTTATTTATTATTGTTGAAACACAGGAACAGATCCAGACTTTGATGACTGGGGAGGCCCAACTGGGGGAGTCACGTATGCAGAGAAGGCATGAAGGCATCAACTTATCATATCTACTCTAACTAACATTCAAAGGTCACATAGTATAGAAAATACACTTTTCTAATACTAATATGTGTCCCTAGTCCGTCAACAAACCCCCCAATTTTCCAAAAAGTCCATCCTATCCTTCTTTTTGCATGCTCCACTTTTCAGAAAATGTGTGCTCAAACAGGCCGTTTGGAGATTTTCCCTTTATGACATCACAAAGGGCAGTAACCCCTCCCCCAGGTGGGTGACACTCCCACAGCTAGGTGTTTGTTCTGCCCTCTGAGCCTGTCTTCTCACCCAAAACAATAGGCCATGGTGCAAGAAAGCCAGAGTACACCCAAGCTCTTCCAGAGAGGGGGCGTGGTCAGACACAGCTCATTTACATATTTAAAGGTACAGACACAGAAACAGCCTGTTCTGAGCAGGGCTGAAATAGAGGGGTTTATAGGCATGATCAAATACAGGATCAGAGTGGATTTAGAATAAGAAACTTCACACACATGTTTTGGAGTACTCTGAGACTTGGAGAATTAGGAGTATCATAAGTAACCTTTAAAGTATCTAAAATATGGCGTATTTCTGTCAACCAATTTTTAACTTGAATTGTATCACGACAAATTGGCAACATATAAAACTTCCAACATCACCCTTACATTTCTAACAAAAGGAAACGTGTTACATTGAAATACAAAGACGGGCACAAGCCGCCTGTTACAACACAGCTTAAATATATGATTTTTACACAAGTCCCAGCTGTGACAATGCAACGGGCCAATCATAGTTGGATGGCCAATGGGCTAGCCAATGAGAGGCTGGCCCTGCCTGGTGGTACTGACTGATATATGTACTGAAGGCAACAAGACTGAACAAAGTAACCATCAGACAATTCAAATTAACTGAACCCTATCATATCGGTCTTGGCAGGTTTAATCGTATAGTTTGACACTGTCATTGGTGATCAGTGTGCACAGCAGGGATTGGCACTCAGATTGACTCCATGAAATCGGGAGTGTTTTACAAATAGACTGATTTGTTCAAGTGTGAGAGATTCTTTGAATATCGGGATGAAGTCAGAGTCACTAAAAAACCCCGAGAGCTTGAAAGGAAGACATGAAGCTGTTATTTTCTGTATTAATAGAGGAAAAAATAAGGCATCCAGACGAGGTCTAAGCATGTCTGTGTCTTCGTGTGTGCAGCAGTCGTGCAGCAGTCCTTGATTCAGTTCACGCTTCCGTGTACCTCAGTGTATCACAGCAGACACTGAAGCCTTATCTGCAGACTCCCTCTCCTCTCACTCCCATTGTTCCTGCTCATTGATCTACCCGTTCACCGCATTTGATCCAAACTGCAGCCGTGTGTTGAAGGTTTCATTGTTTAGGTCAGAATATAGGAATCATTCTTCAAAACCATAAAACATTAATATTCATGATATGTTTTCTTTCTTCCGTCTGTGCTCGCTCTTTCTCTCTCTATTTTCGCTTCCTTTCAATTCTTTATATAGAGGATGGCGGAGAACATTTAACAGACAAACAGATGTGTATATGATTGTATTTATTAATGATGTGTAGTTACAAAGAGCACAAAGGGTCTGCTGCACATGTAGAAAGGCTTGCAACCTTTTGTTCCTCAATATCACTGTTTTGACTTCTTTAACCGAAGCTCAAAATATTTTAAGGAGAATATTAAGGAGAAGAAATAAGTAAAGGGTACAAAAAGTAAAAATATTCAGTATATTGCATGATATACACTGGTATTCAAACACACACTTACATTGGAGGATGGCCTGCTGCTATGGACCTCTTGGCTCTCCTCCTGGTCCCATATACAGCTCCACCTGGAAAGTTTTCCAGGAGATTTTTGCAAGTGTGTAAGCCCTTATACAGTCTGGGAATAACACTGATGATAGTATAGCATCTGTTGATTTGTCAATTCCAAGAAGTGTAGCCGTGACTGCATATGAAACCCATTTTGATCAAGTAAATCTGTCCATTTGTAAACAAAGTGAGAAACTATTTTTTTCCATAACATTCATGTCATCTCATAATCTCTCCTCTCTCTCTCTCTCTCTCTCCTCTCTCTCTCTCTCTCTCTCTCTCCCTCTCTCCCTCCCTCTCTCTCTCTCTCTCTCCCTCCTCCAGCTGATCTTCTGACCGCCCCTCCCGACTTGACCAATGCAGCCGCCATGTACCGCGGCCCCGTGTATGCCCTCCACGACGTCTCCGATAAAATCCCGATGACCAACTCCCCGCTCCTGGACCCTCTGCCCAACTTGAAGATCAAAGTCTACAACTCTTCTGGTCTGGTCACACCTCAGGACGACCTCGGGGGGGACTTCACGTCCAAACTCTCTCCTAAGGTAATTCATTTTATTTCATTTATTTTTTATTTTGAATGTGTTTTAAAAATGAAATAAAGATATACATTACAAACAAAGCAAACAGCAATCAAAGCATACTTTCTGCAGTGGCTCAATTATTTTTCCTCAACCAGTCCATGTTGGAAAAGGGTGTAGGATGAAGTTAAATAACTTATCCAGTCCTATCCCTTTTATCTTTTTAGCTTAATAAATGAATCCCAGACTAAGCTTTATAAAATAAAGTAGAATAATACAGATAAAAAGTTACAAAAGCAACAGATATAACGTATTACACACATTAATTGGTAGACGGTACAGACCTTACAACTGATATTGATTGAATTTTTCCCATTGACTGTTCAATTTTATATTTGTTAAATATGTTATTCTTGAAAATGTGTTTAAACTGTCCTAATGTTTTACATGTTTTCATTTCATCACTGCAGCTGCTCCATAAATTAACACCCCTCGTTGACCCAACTGTAGTTTCATGTTGGTCCTTACTGCTGTTTTTTTAACATAAATATTCCTCTGAGATTGTGTTTAATGTCCCTCTGCTGAAAAAACTTTTGGATACTGTTCGGTGTCTGATCATTTTTTAACTTTGTACATGATTTGAATGGTTTTAAAGTCGACCAAGTCCTTAAGTTTCAGTGTTTTCAGTTTGAAGAAGAGTGGGTTGGTTGATTCTCTGTAGTTGGAGTTAGTTAGTTAGTTAGTTGGCTCTTTACTTGTAACGATGATTTTGAATTATTTCCCACGCAAAGGCGAACACAATTAATAAACATGAAGCTCGGTCGCTCAGTTTCCTCCCTCAGCTCTGTCGGCTGCATGGCATGCATACAGGAGTCACAAATAAACTGAAGATGAAACCACTTTTTTTTACATGGTACCTGTCCTGAGGCCGTACAAGAGCTGAATTGGCTATTTTTCTCCAGATCTGAGGCATTTTTTTAGATGGCTTCATCCATCATTATGTTTCTTTTAAATTCTGAACATCCGCTGCGTCTAATGAGCGACCTCGCCTCGCTAATTTGAGGGTCTTTTTCCATGTGAAAGTATTTTGTTTCCCGTCTGGTGTCTGTCTCCCAACACATCGAAGCCCTTACTTGTCAGCTGTGCGTGATGCAGGAGTAGACTGCTGAATGTTAAGTCCTTATTTTGCATCTCACGGTGGACATCTCTGACAAGGAAATGCAAAGCAGGTCATATTTCACCACTTACCCTTAAGGTGTTTTCACAGGGCTACTGTAAATGTGCCCTCTCCTCACAGACTGTCAGCTCAGCCCTATGGCAGCGCTCCCAGGCAGATGCAGATTTCCTCCCTGTAGGGTTTAAGTTAACGGTTACCAAGAAAACATGCGGAATAGAAACAGCGTCTTAATGAAAGCAGAAAAGTTCTTCTTGGAGGGGGAGTAAGAACAGATTGCTCTTCCAGGCTTCTAATCAGTCAAGTCAAAAGTAAAACTACAATGATCTTTAAACCCAAAGGTCGATCTGTGCACAGTGAAACTTGTTTTGACCTTCATGAACTTTATGGTTTCATTAGAATACATTTACACACAGAGAGCCGCTCTGAGTGGAGTTTGTCCTTCAAACCACTGTTTCATGTCTTGCAGCCTGCAAGGGTGCAGCTCAATGCACACAATAACTACAATCTAGGGCGCCGGTAGCCTAGCGGTTAGTTCATGCTCTGCATGTATAGAGGCTGTTGTCCTTGAGGCAACCACCCCCAAACGATAAAACGTGTATACAGCCAGGTCAGGAGAAAATCTGGACCATTCCTCCTGAAATTATCTAGATAGTTTCAGGAGTGTATATGTGAAAACGTCTCGAGTCGCAGACACTGAAGCTTCAGTGTTTAGCCAGATCTGCATCGATCTTTGAGGGCCGTTCAAAACGACTATGTGGGGGGTGCCTTAAAACCGCCTCTCTGGTCAAAACAAAAACAAACCATTCCACACCTTAATCCAAACTTAGAAGGAGGACATACTGGTTATCGGAGAAGCACTTCAACATAGCATGTCTCCTTAAAGGTTTTATGATTTCATTCAGTAGATATCTTACATATTTGACCTTTGATATGTGTGTGTTTTGAAGTGTTTTGTTTTCTATCTTTAAGGTAAAGAGTTGTTGATGTCTCTTTTGAGAGTAGTAGAGTATTTGGTATGTTGTAACCTGTTTATTCTTGTTTTATTATGACTGTCCTGAGTGTTGTCTTTTGATTCGTAGGTTACCCAGTCTCTGTTGGATAACAGTGACACCATGAACCTTCGCAGCCAGAGCTTGGCCCGGACACGGGATCCTTCATGTACCGCCCACGGATCCTTCAACAACCAGGGAGGACACCTCATTGTGCCCAACTCTGGTAAGACTTTTCTACACATCCCTTACCGCTAAGGTCAAATCTTACAAAGCACAGAGACTCCTAATACCACTGTGTTAGCACTAACATGTACATCAGTAATGGCTGACATTACTTCAGTCTTAATTTTATGTTCCCTGAAAATCATCTTGCCCAATGCAGCTGTCGCTTCCTTCACCGTCCCACCATCAGTAATGGCTTCTTTTGCTTTGTTAGTATGTGCAACATTTTAAATGAGGCCTCCATTACTGTTTTTGCATTCTGTGTCGGTCCACCTTTTCAGTTCTTAGTATGCCGCCTGCAGGGAAGACTTCTGCAGAGTTCCTGTGGACTTGAGCGTAGTAGCGCATCGGCATTGCAATTTTTCAAACGCTGATACCGCAGATGAGGAACACCAACTTTTCCTTTACATTTGTGGGGAAAACAAAACTCACTTTCCCATTCCCAATGGAAATACAATGTTCTCTGTGTTTTCTTATCATGGCCATCTTTGTCAACCATCATAAAAATGGCTAAACAGGCTCGCTAATAGCAATGCACTCGACACTTGAGCTAAGCTAGCGTGCAGCATAACTGACCTGACAAGTCAATGGAGGTTTCTGATCCATTGCTGTGATTGCTTAAGTTCTGCTAGAACTATCCTATTAAGTTGTATTGGAAGGGTTGAACATCTGTGTATTTGATTTAATTAAGAGACTTTCAAGGGCATTAATAGTCAGATTTCTGATGAGTTTGGTGAGTTTCTGAAAGCCTCGCCATGACCTACAAGCTAGCTGTAGCTCGCTAGGGATGCGTTGGAGACCCCTGCTGTTGAACTACTTAAATATGAGGTTAAGCACTTTAAACAAGGCGTTTCATGTAGGTTGAAAGTGTAGTTTTCAGGAGTCTTTTTTAATCTTTAAATATCTAAATGAAGTGACGTACCCAGTGTTTGAACTGATACTGAGAAAAGTCTTGAATATTAGTTCCTAAAGTAAAAAGTGACCACATAAGGCGTATCCATCTGCAGACAACATTATGCAAAAAAAAAAAAAAAATGGCCTCAGGTTGTTCTCATACAGTACAAAGGAAAGATAAACTTTCAGTAGACTCAGATTTTAAAAGCAGTGGACGGACCAAAAATAATGAATAATGTAATGTTATAAAACATTACAGTGACATTCACTCCATGATATTAAGAGAAGAGTCTCACACGGGCTGCCTTTTAAAAATGATTCTTGAATAATTCATCGTAATGATGAAGTGATAAAGGGGATGGGACATTTAATAATTCAGTCCTGCATGGTTAAATGTATAAATCCAGATATGAATCTCATTATTTCTGCCTCTCCTGCAGGGGTGAGCTTGTTGGTTCCTGCGGGCGCCGTTCCTCAGGGCCGCGTCTATGAGATGTATGTGACCGTGCACAGGAAGGACAGCTTGAGGTAAGTTTTTAACTCTCTAGTTCAGTGCTTCCCAAAAGTGTGGTCTGCGGCGCCCCCGGTGGGCCTTGTGGGTACTGCAGGTGAGCCGCAAAAAGTCCTCCACCAAGTATAAAAATAAAAAAAATATCACAATAATGATGATTTACCATGAGTCAACCCTTTAAGTGATTAGTAAGGCCTGTAATGACTATTCATAGACATAGTGTTTAGTAAACTTTTCTGTCTATCTTCCCATAATACCATGTTATCATGTCCAATAATTTACCCTAAAGTGATAGCAGGAGTCATAACTTTTATTTTATAACAGTAATTTTGTATTTCTTATTGGGCCATGGCAGTCTTAAGTTTGGGAAAGGCTGCTCTAGATGACTGGTTCCCAACCTTTAATGGCAATGGCTTGTGACCCCAGTTTGAGATCCCCAGACATCCAAAACACACACAGCTTTTTGTTCAAACAATTTAAGCTTAAATCATTTTGTAGTTTTTTCTATTGTAAACCTTCATACTTTTGTGGCCGGGGCAGAAAGGGAGGATTTTTATTTTTCTCAGTGTACGATGTGTACGACCGGGTGAGCATGTATGAATTTACAAGGCTGGAAATTAATGCTGGTCACATGACGCATGGATGAGAGACAGACCGAGATAGTTTGTTATCCGTTAACGGCCCACAGTAGCTCATGAACTGGGTAACAATCTTGTAGCTTAATTAAGGCAGAATGCTCCAAAATATTTTATTTTGATCAATAATGAGACATTTCAGGGGACCCCTTTTGAGGTCAAGCTCCAAGGTCGGGATAACCTGCTCTAGACACTGCTTGTCCCTCCCTATCTTCTCTTCACCTCTATGTTCAGTTCTTTCTTTTCTTTGCGTCTGTCAGTCTCTCTCTCCTAAGCAGCGACTCATCAGACTTGTTTGTACGTTGCGTGGGGAGCCTTCACAGTGTGACACACAGCTTTAGGATGAACAGCAAAATGATGAATCATAATTATTTATAGTTTATCTTTGCACACCTTCCTTCGATGATTCATTCAGCAGAGGTCACTTCACAGCTTCCCCTTTATTTTTTGCCTGATTCAACGTGCCAACACAGCAGAAGTTTCGGAGTATTTAGAGAAAGATTTTACACATTAATAAACACGTATTCAGTATTTCATTCTCAAAAGTATTCCAAAGCATTTACATCTATTATTTATATATTTCTAAACTTCTTAAATATGTGCTATCTCGCAAGTGTTACAACATAACACTGATTATTATGATTTCTATGTGTCAAACTGGTGTTAAATGCAGTGCAACTGACATATTTCTCACCTCTTGCTTCACTTTTGTAAGACGTATTTGGGGCTTTTGTGCCTTTTTTAGAGATAAATCTCTTCTTTAATAAATTAGCCAACTACTTGGCTTCATGCATCCTTCCTAGCTGCTCCCTGATCAATAGCAGTCAGTAGGAATCACCCGTCCTGCAGTGCAGCTACAGTATTTCTAAGAGTCGAGTCTCTTCTCTGTCTTCATCTCAGTCAATAGCTGGCTAGCACGACGCTACATTGACTTCCCTCTGCAACGCTTAGCCAGCCAGAATCATGATGTGCATCTGATGATGATGTAACCTTCGGACGGCTGTTTCCACTTCTAACATCTACGACTTGTATGAAAAAAGATACATTAGGAAGTCAAAATGAGGCGCTACAGTTTGAATTCTGCTGTTTCTATCTGTTAGCTTCTACTGCTACATGAGTCAATAATGAGCTCCAGCAGCGTAATCGATCATGCTGCTCAGGATTAGTGCCCCTTCTTCTGCAACATGAGTGAAGAAAGTGACTGGATAATGGATTACACAGAAACGTTCATATGCACTTTATCTGTTTATAAGACTTTCGATGTACAGATAAAATAAGGTTAATTAAAATACAAAGTTGTTTCTTAAAGATGTCATATGATGCCCTTTTTGGGGTTTGTATATTTAATCTATGTACCTACTGAAGTATGTTCACAATAGCTAAAGTTCTAAAAAAGTCTCTGTTTTCATGAACTGCCGCTCCATGCACCGGCTCGCTTCTGACTCTCTCTCTAAGGCTCTGAAGTGCCCATGTTCAGAGTCCCCACGTGTGCCAAGTCTGATCTGATTGGTCGGCCTGTTGGCTCTGCCGTAATTGGTCAGTCGCTCAGCACGGTTTTCAGAAATGTCACGCCCCTTTTACCATATTGGGAATGCAGCCACTTTGGCTCAGAGGGGAGCAAAAACATTAGCACCTTAGCACTACTGTGCTACCGCAGGCTACGGCATATCATGGGCGTGCTACAGAAGTTAATGGGCATGCTGCTGGGCTTACCACAACAAGCCAATGGGCTTAGATCAGTGATATCACACAAATTTTATTCGAGGGGGGCTAGAACCGAGCGTTACATGCAGCTAATGCTGCAGCTAACAGGAGGACGTAGGAGAAGCCGCGTTTCCGCGGACTTTGAATTTTTGCACATAGATGTTCCTAAACATGCACAGGACACTTGGAAAACACACTAAAGAGCATATAAAACCAGAAAAAGCAGAATATGACCCCTTTAATATCAGGAATTTATTCTCAAAGTGTTTGTTGTTCATTTTATGAGGTATGGAGGAAATTCATGAGCTAACCAGAGTTAGCTTAAAGGCAGGGTTGGTAGTTTTAGAAAACTAGCATGATTTTGAAAGTAGCATTCCCTCAGTGCCCCGTCTGCATCCCACCCCTGAATGAATTTCCCATTTTTGTACATTAATTGTCAGGTGCTTGGAGTTCCAATACTTGAATTTGCAGGGAAAATCTGTAGAGCCTGTGACCAGTAATCATTTATTTTGTGCACATGGGCTGTGAGCTCCGGTCTCCAGCTGAGGCCCCGCTGACTCCACTAATCATCCTCTGATTGAATTTGTGCCGCCCGGCTCTCATCTGTTTTCTTCTCTGATTGTCGACAGTACTCCAAAGCTAGTCCGTCCTACTCTAACATGATGTAACTATTCTCCTGTCCCCTTTATTATTATCAAATGTGAACATTATGACGGAATAACACACTCCACAAGTGAAATCAATACAGCTCTCTGCAGATGATGCTCGCTGCGGCTGCTGCCTGGTGGTGTTCTGAAGAACGATTTCAGCCCGCTGTTATCTGTCCCTTTGCAGACCCCCGGTAGAGGATATCCAGACTGTGCTGAGCCCGGTAGTGAGCTGTGGGCCTCCAGGAGCCCTGCTGACCAGACCAGTGATCCTCACCATCCACCACTGCGCCGACAACGTGGAGGAAGACTGGCTCATACAGCTCAGGAACCAACTGGCCATGGGAGAGTGGGAGGTCAGTGCTTTATCTCTGGTGTTATGTCTGATTAATAGACTGTATATTAAGATGGACGTAGCTACAGCCGCCTGGGAGTGAAGCCACGATATTAAGAGCTTCCCCTGCTGACTGGCTGCAGTATAAACCCCGCGTCCTCCATATTACCAAACGATAAATGTGTCAAAACTACGACTCAAATCTGCAGCTAAACGCCTGCACACAGTCACAACCAAAGTGTTAATACACATGGCATGACATAGTATTATTCATACAGCAGATATATGCACACATGCGTTACTGTTATCTCCCAAAAGCACAGCCCGCTTAAAGTATACACACATGCGGTGAGGGATGGAGGAAGGAAAAGGAAGAAAAGGAGAGACATTTCAGTAAACACAAAGTGCCTATAGGCTTGTAGACAAGCAGGGGGCTGTAGACTCCTATCAGAAGCAATTTGTTATGCTCCTGCTGTCGTCCCCTTCTCTCATCTTTCTTCTTATGTTTCTATCCCTCCGTTTTTTTTATTTTTACCCTTCCCTTCCCTTCTCTCCCTTTCCCTCCTCCCATGTCTCTCAGTGTGAAGTCTCTACCTCAGCAATCTGTTTGTGTGTGTGTGTGTGTGTGTGCGTATGAATGTTTCTGATCCAGTGTGTGTGTGGGGGTATGTTGTGTGTGTGTGTGTGGGTGATAAGGCTGTCTTGCAGCATCACTGTGTCTACAAGCCCCCCGTATGCTGTCTTCTGTTGCTTATCACAGCACAACACAATGTCTCTGCACAATTAGCCATGCATAAGATTCTGTGTGTGTGTGTGTGTGTGTGTGTGTGTGTGTGTGTGTGCGCGTCTGAGAGAGAGAGAGAGAGAGAGAGAGAGAGAGAGAGAGAGAAAGACGGACAGAAAAGAAAAGGGTTGGGCGCAGAGTGGGTAAAGACGAGGGAGAATGAAAAGTGGAATTTCATCAGGAAGTCGATTTGTTTTCCTCTTATTGCAGCAGAACATCCATTTCCCATCAGAAAGTTTTCCCCTCCAAAAAAACAGGCAGAGGAGGGTAATTGAATTCCCCTCACATCAGGGGGTTCGGGGGGGGGGGGAGCAGCCACGGCGGTGATTACCAGTAATAACAGATTCATACCATATTGCTTTCCTACCTCTTAGTATTGATTTGCCTGGCTCATCTGCAGGAACACAACTCCACATGAACTCACATTGGAAACTCAATATTTGTGACTCACACGTGTGCACGTATTACAGATCCATACCCTGCATCCACGCATGTGCACACACATTACACTCACATCTAACTCGCGCAATCACACAGGTGCACACATGACTAATTGAAGGTTGGAGTGCTCATATATAGGAGGAGGGGCACAGTATATGCATGTGCAGAGAGACGTATGGATTTACCATAGCTCAGGCGGTGACAGAAAGATATGAGCAACAGCCGAGCAGACGATCACAGAGGGATTGGACACACTTCACAGACAGCAGCTCCAAAACAAGTATTATCATTCTCACAATGGACACCTTGATCCCGCTCTCTGAAGTCATATGTACAACCACACATGCAATTTACATTTCAGTCAGAAACTCGACACAAACAAAGAGAGCCCCCTGGGTGCTGAATTAAAGGAAGAATGTGCAACATTTTACACATAAATACAGGAGAAATCATCCTGTGTAAATGTCTCTCTGAGTCATGACTGTCTACAAAGACTGAGAAGCTTGAGTCCCACCAGCTGTTTTGTTGTCAGCACCGTGTTTACATCATGTTTACATGGACGGGACGACTTTGTGTATAAAGCTGTTTAAGTCAATGACGAGAGAAAAAGAAGAATAACACACTCATGATTATTTGGATGTCATGTAAGTGTCTTTAGAGCTCGGTCATTCTGTGTCAATTTATGTGCAAATGAAGCAACGAGCTAACCAAAGAGCGCTAACATTAGCATGCTAACACAACAACGCAGGACACAGGTGATTCCAGCTTGAACAAAGGACGATTTTGTCCTCTGCTTGCGCTTAATGGTGCTTAATTATGGTGCGTTCTGATTCATAACTCTTGTCTTGTGACGCGAGTGGAGAGGGGTTGGCGGTGTGTCTCTGTAGGAGAGCGGAGGCGTCAAAATAGCGGAGGTGCAGTTTGTTTTGGTTTCATGCTGGTGCTCAAGGTCGACATTTACTGGATCAAAAAAGTTGCACATTCTTCCTTTAATGCGCCAAACTGACTGAAACTTAGCTTTTTACACTTCACTCAGTTTTTGATTTCCTTTACAACGATTTCCATCAAGTTAGCCCAGCTGGGAACACATCAGCTCTGTTTACAGCAGCAGAGGAATGCATCAGTTTAAAAAAAAAAAAAAAAAAACACACTCTCTGCTTACACAATGTCTGTTTGCATTAGTGGGGATGGCTCCAAATGGAGGTCCAGTCGGGTTATGTTAACACGCAGTATGCAGCTTAATGCCTGTGAGTTCTCGAATAAAAGCCAGTGTTCAAATACCGCTCGGGTTTCACTAAAAAGCATTCCGTGCGGACAAATAAAAGCTTGTTCCTGAATTAAAGGTGAAGTATAAACAGATGTTATCGGCATGTGGCTGTAAAATCAGAATAATCTACATCGTCCACAGTTTGTTTATCGGCTGGATTCAACACTGACATTTTGTTGTTTTCACAATAAAAGTCTGGGAAAGGAAGGCAATCACATCCCTGATCCCATAGATAATAGTAATGTGAAACAGAATGAGGGAGGGAGAGAGTGTGCTTTGACAACAACGACTAAAAAGCTTCAAACAGGTGTAGATCATTGATAAGAAGTGGCAGAGTGTCTGGTTTCAAGAGTGAGGCGAACGTAGAAGTGCGTTTGATCATGGTGGTCACCATATTGGAACTTCTATCACCACCTAGCTTTCAATCGAAGTAGTACCAGGCAAAGAGGAAGATCTGAGGTGGGCTAAAACAGCGTCAACCTGTCAGTCAAATAAACCACGCCCCTTATGATGCAAACGTTTTATTAGGGATCACAGATCCAGCATGACACTCTGGAAAATGTGTGTGACTTTTATATGTGTGTGTGTTCGATCTCCACAGGACGTGGTCGTGGTGGGAGAGGAGAACTTCACCACGCCTTGCTACGTGCAGATGGACTCTGAGGCGTGTCACATCCTAACGGAGACCCTGGGGACGTACTGCCTGGTGGGACAGTCGGTCTGCAAGGCGGCCGCCAAGAGGCTCAAGCTGGCCGTCTTCGGGCCCGTCTCCTGCACGACTCTGGACTATCACATCCGGGTCTACTGTCTGGACGACACGCAGGACGCACTCAAGGTGAAGTACTCAACGACACGACGAGAAATCTCTTAACGGAGTGTTAGTTTATTGAATCAGGCTGTGAGAGCACACAAATAAAACATGTTATACCGTATGTCTAACAGTTAAAGGCTTAATGTGCGATTTTTCACACTTAAGTAATATAAATCAAGTATATCCTCTGAAAATAACTCTGTGAGTCATGACTGTCTACAATGGGTGTAACACCCGAGTCCCACTGTCTGTGATGTTTTCAGAGTTTTCAGAGTCCTATCTTCAATTTGTTTACATCGCCGGGACGGCCGGCTGACTCCTCCCCTCGTGTATAAAAGTTGTTTAATTGAGGGACTAGAGAAAAGAAGAATAACATACTGTACTCACTGCTTAACTGTGTTTCTAGATCACGCTCATTTCAGGTAAATTTACATGCAGTGTGAAGATACCAGCATAATAAAGATCGCTAGCATTAGCATGCTAACACAACAATGCACCGCGAGTTGTTTTGGTTTCATGCTGGTGCTCAAGGGCGACATCTGCTGGATCAAAAAAATTGCATAGTAAGCCTTTAAGATAAGAAAGAAGTGCACAATATATCTGTCTTAAACTGTTCTGTTTTTTTTTTTCCTGTGCGAGATTTGGTTCTCTCTTTGACCACCCCATGCTTCAACCGTTCCCCGCTAATTTGAAGCGCGCAAAAAGTTTGACAAGAAGTGATTTCGTTGACTCATAAATACAAGTTTGTTTCACCTCTAGTCGTTCTGGAAATGAGCTGAGGAGCTGTAAACAAAACAGGGTCAAGCAAAGTCAAAAATAACGCTGCTTCAGAATTTCAACAAACTCGGGGGGAGCACTGGAGGGACCGTCTGATACGGGAGATTAACGCCGGTAATTTATGCAAGCGATGATAAAGTCGAGTGTCGGTCGCGCACACACACACGCACCAAAACAGCCAACACACTCCGCTTGCAACATTTCAAACGAGCATGTGTGTGTGGCTGGAAAAAACGAGAGTTCAGAGGTGGACTTTTTAATGATGGGAGACTTTGTGTAGTGTAATTGATCGGCTGGTGTTTCAAAGGGGAAGTGTCCGCTGTGTATCTACAGTAGAGCTGCAGCGTAGGAAGATGATGGGAGGGAGGAATTGATTATTTTGGAAAAAAAAAAAGGTTGTAGGAGGCATCAGAAGTCATGCTGATAACTTATTCCTCCATCAGAAAATAACTGCGTTCGTTTGTGCATGTGTGTGTGTGTGTGTGTGTGTGTGTGTGTGTGTGTGTGTGTGTGTGTGTGTGTGTGTGTTCATTTAAGCATGTTGATGTTAGTTCAGAAGCCTGTAAAAATATGTTGATGCTACCAGTGTGTGTGGTCGTCATTATGCATGCTGATGTGTCTGCAGGGCACGGAATCGTTTCTTGGTTTCTCTGTCAGTGTGGGCTAACGTGATATATACAGAAGTTAATTTAAAAAAAAAAAAAAAAGGATGAAGCCGAAATCCCCACAGGACGATGTGTGCAATGTTTTATTAACACAACAGCAGCAGAGCAAAGTCAAACACGCTGCTTCCTTTTTTTTGTTTCAAAATGAGCCAGGATCATCCAAAAAACATCATCAAATCTGTTTTTTCCTGTTTAATAAAAAACTGAGTTTCTAAATTAATAAAAAAATCAGACATAAGCCCTTTTCACATCTGCACTCTTGCTCCAACTCAAGGTCTTATTCACAAAGCATACAGCACTGACGATATTCAGGTGCAAACAGGCCCATAGAGTCGTCCTGCTCCGTGCAGTTTACTTTTCTTTTTTGGTCTGAAAGTGTAGAAAAGCTGTCTGCACCTTCTCCACGTGGAGATCTCATGCTGACAGAGCGGGTTTGTTCCACATCAAGGTGATGAGCTAGGAGGCGGTGGGGTGGTGGGTTCAGGGTTCATTTTGAGGCTGGACCGTTCAAAACAACGCTTCCTCTCTGAATGGATCAAGGAAGTGCAACTCAGATAAAAAAAGGAATGGATGCTGGATCGTGACAGCTCCAGATCGTCTGCACAGAAGGACTGGGCGTGGCTGTTAGCAGGCGGGGTTTTGTGATTTTTCCCCAATCAACTGCGTAATAGTTCACTTTATATGTGATTTTTCACACTTAAATATAATAGAAATCAAGTATATCCTCTGAAAATAACTCAGTGAGTCATGACTGTCTACAATGGGTGTAACACCCGCAACCATGACCAACACACAAGGACGCTGTCTGCTCTGCAGCGCCATCAGGGCGTGCATTTAACACCATGCATGTGTTTTATGAATTAGACGTTGTTTTTGATTCATTCACACAGGTTTAGCAGGCTTTAAAAAGCAATGCAATCCTTTTTTGAATCTGAGCTCACTGAAACGTACACTTTGATGGCTTGAAATTCTAACAAAATGTGGAAATGGAGAATAATTTGCTTCGAAAGCTTTATATACTCTTACATAATTAGCACTGCGCAGGGTGGCTTTGAGGTCAGGAGAAGTAATTGAATTCTACTGTCTTGCATTTAAAGATATGCTTCATTTCCCTCATCTCACAACAGCACCACTCTGACTCGCGGTGCATTATTAATCAAGGCTTTTTATTGAGCGTCTTAATGTCTCTCTTAAGTTCTGCGCAGTTAGCCGAGCCAAGCTTTGCTTCAATCCGGGGGAGTACATCTCCTGATACAACATGATGGGAGAACTGAAATATGTTTCAACGTTCAACACAGCATTATCTGCAGTTATAATGTCGTCTCTCCACTGATCTATGAAAAACTCGTTCAGCGAGGAAGAGTTTTGTAGAAGCAAACTTGAGGAAGAAATTTGAAGTATTTCTTTTCTTTTCTTTTTTTTGTGGGTTTTTATGTGCAGGAGGTTCTTCAGATGGAGACCCAGATGGGAGGGAAGCTTCTGGATGAGCCGAAGACTCTGAACTTTAAAGACAGCACACACAATCTGAGACTGTCGATCCACGACGTGCCGCACACACACTGGAAGAGCAAGCTCATCGCTAAATATCAGGTAAGAGGAGTACACGTACATGTACACCGAGGGCAATCTGTTACCATGCCCGAGAACGTTCGACCATCAAGGTCCAGTTTATTTGACTAGTGTGAGCACAGTCACACATATTTAATCATTTCACAGCATGAGATCCAATCTCGTTTTCTTCTCTTAGGAGATTCCGTTCTACCAGGTGTGGAGCGGCAGTCAGAGAAGTCTTCACTGCACCTTCACCCTGGAGAGACTGAGCCCGGCCACCATGGAGATCAGCTGCAAGCTGTGCGTGCGGCAGGTGGAGGGGGAGGGACAGATCTTTCAGCTTAGCAACACACTGGAGGAGGTGAGCTAGAAGAACTACACACATGATGTCTGTACAGTATATGTAAGAAAACTAACAGAGAAGAAAACTGGAAGAAAGATCAACACAGTCAAAAGCCTTTTTTCAAGCACACACTCCTGAAGATTTCAAGACACTCATCCGGGGTTGTTCTTTCACACATGCCCCTCACAGCGGGAGATTTTCCCTGAATTCTTCACAACAGGGTCCGAAGAAGCTGACTAGACTCTTCTCCTCTGTCGCCCCCCGGTGGTGGAATGAACTTCTAAACTCCATTAGATCTGCAGAGTCCATCTGCACCTTTAAGAAAAAGCTAAAGACCCAGCTCTTTCATGAATACCTACTAACTTAATGTTGATGGTCTCCATATTATTGATGATGATGATGGTAATGACGATGGTTTTTGTTTGATAACGACGACTTATAAGATGGTTTCTATACTGATTAGAGCTCTCAAGAACTGCCCTCAATGTTGTGCTTTGCCTCTGGTCACTTCCTGTCAGCACCTGTGTGTCCAATCAGACTCAAAGCTGATCGTTTGCTCTTACTGACATTGTTCCCTTTTTTCTAGATCCTTGCTTGTGTTGTACTTACTCTCTGATGTACGTCACTTTGGATAAAAGCGTCTGCTAAGTGAATTGTAGAATTCTAGAATACGAATGTCATCAGCCGGCCCACTCACTCACTCACTCACTGAGAATTTTCCTCAGTATTATCTGCAGCTTCCTCATATCAGCTCCGCCCGACTTCTTGTGGAAATGTTACTGGGGGTCTGGCAGGAAAGTGTCTGGGTAAAGGTGGGATGAAAATTGGGTTTACACATGCAGATAATCCAGAAAATCTCAAGGAGTGGTTGGAGATGGAGAGAGGCTCATTTGACATCCTACCCCCTGACTCCTTATTCCTAAAGTCCTGCAGTAATGGTCCTAAAGTCTCTAAGTTTCCCCGCAGTCAGCCGCGCAGTCCGTGTTTCCTGCCATGGTTCTGTGACTCTGTTCAATCATTCATGAAGGGGCTAAAGGGTCACATAACACCAGTGGAATAGCTCATCTTTGATTTTTTTTTTCTGGCCCATGTTTCCAGTCACTGAATATGTGTGTTTGTGTGTGTGTGTCTGTGTGTTTTTCGCCGAGGTCACACCGTACTTTTGGACTGTGCTTTGAATTCTCCCGTGGTGTTCAGAGGTGATACATAGCTCAGGATCTAGAATTTTTAACCCCTGTTTGCCAAAGTATGCTGAGAAGAGCTGCAGAGAGGGGAGTTAGTGGCAGCAGCAGGGAAACATCTGAACACATTCTGTACTACTTCAGCTAATTAAATAAAATGAATGTATCTCACACGTTTGCTGCTTTTCAGAGTTTTATTATGCACATATGATTATGATCAGTGAATAATACCTTGAGAAGGAGAAAATAGTGGGGGCAAATGGGGAGCAATCCATTAAGCTACAATATTAGCGTTCACAATCTGAGAGAATCAGGCCTTCAATATACTGTAAACACTTTACATCATTTCTTCCTCTTCCTCCACCTGTCTCAGTCCATCTTGCTCTACTGCTATGTCTCTAAAGCCTGACTGATAACACATTATTTAGGCCATATATTGATATTCTGTTTTTTTAGATGGTGGTAACAATATCTGATATTCATTTTCCCTGCATGAACGCAGACAAACCAGACATAAACAGAACATATTTGGTCAGTAGGCCTCTGAGATAAACTCCTGGAAATTATATTTAAAAACTTTTCAAGAATTAAAGAATTGTTTTATACAGCAACATTTATTTAGATTCTTAAACATTACTTTTGTGTGTGTTGTTTTTTATTTTAATCATCATCAGCCAAAACCTTTTGATACTTATATGTCTTTGGTAAATTGTGATAACGGTCATTACGTAGCAATTCTATGTTCAGTGTTCCTTAATGTATTTCAAAATAAAAGCAGCTTTGTATTCAAACAGGAAGTGAAGCACCCTCAGCTTAAGACAGTACAAACGTTCAAAATAAAAGCAAAAATAATTGATTTTCAATTTCAATCATACGATTAACCATGCTTTTAATCACGATTTAAGACTTGAGTTTGTATTACTTTTTAAAATCTCTTATCTGGTCCGACGACTCTTTACCACCATGGAGCTCTTATTAATCATTCTCTCGTACAAAGTCCATCCAAGTTCAGAAGTGTGAATATCTGCCTCTATAACTCTAACTATCCCGCTGTATTGAACGTCTCATCCTGAATTTTTTTGGCACTTTTTAGCTGAATGTTTTCTTTCCTTAATACACCTTCTTTCAAATCAAACAAACCAAACAGCCTTTTCAGCAACAAGAACACATTCAAGATTAGCACGTCTGTTTGGGGCAACGACAGATTTGTCACAACAATAAACATTTCTTTAAGTGATCAGCTGTAATCCATGTGAAGTAGGCGATAACTACCCTTACAAAAATAATGACTATGATCTCATAAGATGTCTGGCACAGGCGCTAATTAGAGCTGAAGAGCTGGAAGAAAATATTCACTGAATGTCTGTGCATTAAATAAAACCTGCTGTAGACCCTCTTACAGTCTGCAGGGTTCTGCATGTTGATGGGTGAAATGTGAAGAAGGTTTAAAGCATTTGTTATGTCAACTAAATGTCCCTCTGTATCCATCAGGCATGGCTCCGGCAGTGGAGAGCTCTCTGCTGTAAATTGGGGCTAAGTAGTCGCAGTAAATAGTAATCGCTCACATCAGCAGTGGCAGTTGTTGTTTCCCTCTGTCAGGCCACATTCATTAAACCTACTGCCTCCTTTCAGCACAAGGAGTGGCAGATTAATGGGATGAAAGTTTAGAAAGAGACAAGAGATCGACAGCCCAGAGAGAGAGAGAGAGAGAGAGAGAGAGAGAAGGGAGCTGAGGAGCAGATCTTTGTGTTCGCTTCACCCTCGTTTTAATGAAGAGATGTTTCTGTGATTGGTCGCAACAAGACAAGCAGCGGAGAGACGAGAAGTACCAGGATGAGGACCAACAGGATGAAATATGAGGGATTTCATTTGGGCAATGCTGCCATATTGATCCACATCACGATGCATATTTTATTCTTAAAGATCCCATCTCATACTCATTTTCACCTCTCATGTTGTCAAGTCTGTGAAACCTATAATGTTGCTTTGCGGCTAAAAAATACTCTTAATTCATCTCATACTGGTGTCAGTAAAAACCCTCATTTCAGCCTCTGCCTGGAACAGTTTGTTTCAGCTTCTGGTTCTTTAACGCTTACCTCCCCATATGCCCACTTTCTGCTGATTGGCCGACTCTCTCGAAGCCTTCCAAGGGGGGCAGAATGCTGCAGGGCTGCCAGGGGAGGGCTGCTCTCCAGTGCTGTTAGAAGAGAGGTGTGAAAGTCTTGGTTTCCTATCGGGGAACTATCGGGTGATTTGCCGTTTAGCGCCCTCTGCAGACTCATCCTGGGATAGGTCAACTTTAAAGCATTCTTATTGTAAACACATCCATCCCTGTCCTCCAGTGTTTATACTGATGATGTCATACTGTTCAATAACCCAAGTCCTCTATTAGTACACGTTTTCAAATGTTAAGATCACTTAACCAACCATGATTGTTTTCGTTCTGTGTTTCCAGGAGGTCCAGTGCATAGACACGTCCCTAATGGACCCTGCCAGTAACATCACCATCTTAGTAGGACCCAACGCTTTCCGCATTCCTCTGTCCATCAGACAGAAGCTGTGTGGCAGTCTAGATGCTCCGCAGACGAGAGGCAACGACTGGAGGATGCTGGCCCACAAACTCAACCTTGACAGGTGACAAACACACACTCATGTACTTTTAAATATGTTTTGTTTTTTTTGTCCTGTATGCTTCCCTCAGGCGTTCCGCAGGGTTGGGTACATTATTTAGAGAGAAAAGCTCTTCTCAAGGTGGCCCGTCTCACTGTTTCGACAACAGATGATAAGCTGAGTTGATTTCTGTGGAATGTGACTTGTACAAGATAAATTCAGACGGTGTTTCTGAAGAGAAAATAATTCAGTTTATTACACTGCAAAAACTCAAACTATACCTCTTTACATATAACACAACATTCACCTGACAAGTCCAGATAAACATCTCATTAACAAGATGTAAAAAGCCAAAGCAAGAAAAGTTTACCGGTAAAGTTTCATGACATAAGATATTGATCTAATTTCAAAAAACGTAACAAGTCAATTTTTCCTGCTGCAGTTATTATTTTTACTAACTAAAAGCAATCCAGGCCTAATTTTTTGATTGTAATATCTTTAAATAAGACACTTTTCTGTGTTTGTCAGGTGACTGTGGCTTATATTAAGTAGGGACCAACCAATATGGGATTTTTGGGGAAATACTGATATCAATATTAGGAAGAGAAATAATCTGATACCAATAATTGGGCCGATATCTTTCTTCGATCTATGTCCAATCTCTATATATATTTATTTAGTTTATCCCTACAAATGCAGCTTATAAACACTTGTGGAAAAGAAATACATTATAATGAAGACAAGATGGTCACTCAGCTGGAAAGTAAATGTGCATCTACGTGCATCACTGCCTGACACTCTGCAGAGTGATGATACTTGTTGTAATCCATATAGCGCCCTCTGCTGGTGAAAGAGAACTCCTCATGTAACACAATGATACTCACATGAAATGCTATTTGACTGGTGAATAAATCTAGTAATATCCGTGCATATCTGTGTTAAAGTTAGCCAATATTGATAATCACTGGATATGCTAATATCGGCCGATAATATCGGCTGGCTGATTAATCGGTCGAGCTCTAATATGAAGTGTAATGAGATATTTTAGTCTTGAAATTAGATAAAAACACTTGCTAAGATTTAAGGGTGTTTTTCAGATTTTTATTTTAATGATTTATATTTGGGCTTTTTACACCTGTATTGTAGAGATAGTAAAGTAGATAGGGTCAGAAATCAAGGAGAGGAGAGTGAGGAATTACATTTGAGAACGGAGCCATGGGTTGGATTTTGACAAGGGCCCCTGGTTTGGAGGACGACAGCTTCTGTACATGTGGCGCGACCACTAACCTCTACGCTGCCCCGGATTGTGGTTTTTGCAGTGTCTGTTTTCTCTCTAGGCCTCAAAGACACAGCAGCATATCAAAATAGAAACAACGAAATAGAAGTAACAGCTAATTGCATTAACTGACTGCAACTGCTGAAACAATGAAAACATGTGAACATGCATCCCTCAGGAGTTTAGACCTATACGGTATACTACTGTCTTATTATTATTACTGCTACTGAAGTTGTGAGCTCCTAAAAACTAGAGATACATTTATCCATTACCATGTGACTCACAGGTAGCATCTTCAGTCTGCCTCTCCCCAGATGTTTGTCTGGATGATTCAGTCTGCAGCTTCATTTACCAGCAGACATCGAGAGGATAATTGGGCACAAGTGCACCTCACCATCCCGACGGGCGGCCAGCTCATGATGTCGTTTCTGTTTATGTGGGCACAGAATATTCCCCGATCCGTGGGTGAAAAATTAGACAGTTAGCCAAAATTGTTGTTTACTTCCACATTTCCGCTAAAAGCTGCTCTTCAGAAGGAGCACGATATAATAAGTCTAACATGGAAATACCATCTTTTTATCCCCTCTCTCGCTCCTGTTACCGCCACGTCACGTCTGTTTGACTTCAAAGTATGACTCAGAGCTATTTCCCCCCACGTAGCTTTCATACTCTGTAAACACAGTGAGCAGTACAGACTTCAACACACACACACACACACACACACACACACACACACACACATAACATGTATAACTGTTAGTGTTTGGGTTTATTCTTCTGACAAAACCAGTTAAAGGAAATGCTGGAAAGGAACACACACCAACATTAAAATGTGGATCTCAGCTTTGAGTTCACTAAACAGCAGGATGCCACTTATCTCCTCCTGCAGACAGACGGAGGCTGCGAGAGAAACAAAGTCGTGAAAATAGCTTATTAGAAGTTGTGAGTGAGGAGAGAATATGCACAAAAAGGAGAAAAAGTGCAGGTGTAGAGGCAGAAATGAGCAGAGGAGTGATGGTTGTGTTTTAACAGTTTTGCCAACAGAACAATTGGAGGATTTTCAGAGGAACAGAGAGTCTGTCTTTTTTTATCCACGTGTGACTCAAATCTGAAGGCTTTTCTCCTAAAGCAGCACTGGGATCATTGTCACAGATGGCTCAGAGTCAGACTCGTCCTCTTCATCTATTGTGTACATGAGTCTCAATAGCTAAACTCATCTGTGAAAACTGTCTTCTTCTCTTCATCTGACTCTCAGAATGCTTTCATCTCCCTAACTTCTTTCAAACAGTTGAAGCTACATGATGACAAAAAATGTTCTATGAATGATTCACGCCCCACATTTCATTTAGCCTCACCTGTTACATTATAAGCCATGTGGTAATCAGGGATCAGAAGTAATGTAAACGGTTCGGATTGGCTTTGGCTTTGTGTTTTACTGTAAATTTTAAGTTGGAGAAAGATCCATGACCAACATTTTTCCTTTTTAAAGGTACGACAAGGCAGCTCAAAGTGCTGAAAATAGTCAAAGAAACATATTAGAAATTGTTAAATTTATGGCTGTCAATTAATAACTTTTTCAATCAAAGTAATTGCTGAATCTTTAGAGTTAATGGGGATTGAAATTCCATCATTTTGCATTTCAAAACATTTTTTCTTATTCTTTTAATTTAAATTTAAGCTAGTGGTTTACTTGCGGTTTGGATACCAGCTTTTATTCTGAAAGGACATGAAAGGTATCTAAGGTTGCAACATTAACTTAACCACAGAATAAAGGAACTTGTTACAGATCGAAAAGTAAATTAAAACAGTTCAAAGGGACGGTGAAAAGTTTGATGTCATGAGATGGATATCACTTTAAACTATTAATGCATACGTGTTAATACTGGACCTTAAATATAATGAGCAACGAAACAAAATGAAAATTTGAATGAATTCCCTCATACTGACCCTTGATCCTCTCCCTGGTTTCTGCAGGTATCTGAACTACTTTGCCACCAAGTCCAGTCCAACAGGTGTGATCCTGGACCTGTGGGAGGCCCAGCACTTCCCCGACGGAGACCTGAATGAACTGGCCGCCGTACTGGAAGAAATGGGTCGCCATGACGGCAGCTTCGCCTCCATGACGACAGAACACTGACGAAATAAAACAAAAAAAATGTGGTCACCATGACGACGACAGAACTCTGGAGACGATTACGTGAGAATTCTCTTCGGTCGACGCTGCAGCTGGGGTGATGGCGATGGAAGAATAAGATGCGAGAGTGGAGGGGAAGATGTCGGCATGGTTGAAATAACCACGGTTGCCATGCCAACGAGAAGTGCTCGAGATTGTTTTCCGAGATATGTGTGCATCTGTGTGTTTTGTTAATTGGAGCAGTGTTGCAGTGTCGTTTGTGACCGAAGTAGAGAAAAACCCCAACCTACAAACCGATGTCGATCAGGAACAAACGAATCATCAAACACCGAAAAAAAAACGGACCTTGTTTAGTGTAACACTCGTTGTTCTCCTGCTGTTACTTTCTACTGAACAAAGAAGCAGAGCTGCAGAAGAAGACGGAGGTACTGACCTTGAAAACCTCTAAAGGAATGGAAGAGAATGATGAAGGGAGAGAGCATAAACTGATTATGGAGGAGTGGGAGAAGGTAGAGCGAGGATAGAAAAAAGAGAGAGAGAGTGAGTTAGAGCCTCTTTAGGTGGAGTAAACAGAGGGAGAAGCTAAACTGATTACAAGAGAGAGGGAGGGAGGGAGGACGTAAACACAAAATGATGGAGGGAGCCGCAGGTGATGATCTGTAAGAACAGGATGGAAAACAGATAATGAGAGAGGAGAGAGATGAAGATGTAATCCCTCTCTCCTCCTGCGAGCCTTGGCTGTACGTGTTTGCCAGTACAGTTTGTTGTCTTTTATATCGTTTCCTAGGGAACACTTTTATGTATTCTGCTGTCCATATGTGTGGATCATTTCCTGCTACACAGTGAGTGTCAATCAGCGCCGTCCTGACCAGAAACAAGCCCCGGACAGAAGGTTTGGATTACATCATTAAGGGGGTTCATAAATTCCTGTTGTGGTCTGTATTCAGTTTGTGGCTTTTTTGTTAAATTATCCAGGGTCAGGAAAACTCAAAGGACAACGTCAAATGCAACTGAGCCTTTAACTTTGCTGATCCAAAACAGATCCAAGGCTGATTTCACTTATACCAACAAAAACACAAAAAACACGTAAGATGTGTTTGTAATTGTCAAACATCTACTTTGCACGTGGTAAACTTTGAGTAGTGAATTTTGAAGCCCATGTTAAAGGTCACATATTACACTCCTTTCTAAATATTTAAAATAAGTCTCTGAGCTCCCTAAAACATGTGTGTGAAGTTTCTTGTTCTAAATCCACTCTGATCCTGTATTTGATCATGCCTATAAACCCCTCTATTTCAGCCCTGCTCAGAACAGGCTGTTTCTGTGTCTGTACCTGTAAATATGTAAATGAGGTGTGTCTGACCACGCCCCTCTCTAGAAGCGCATTGGCTTTCTTGCACCATGCCCGATCATTAACGTTGAGACGGCAGACTCAGAGGGCAGAACAAACACCTAGCTGTGGGAGTGTCACCCACCTGGGGGAGGGGTTACTGTCCTTTGTGATGTCATCTCCAAATCTCCAAACGGCCTGTTTGAACACACATTTTCTGAAAAGTGGAGCAGGCAAAAGACGGAGAGGATGGACTTTTCTCATAATTGAGAGGTTTGTAGACGGACTAGGGCCTCATATCAGAGTTTGAAAAGCATGGTGGAGTGTATTTGCATAATATGTGACCTTTAAATCCAATTTGTGGTTGTGAGTGCTCAAAAGTAATTTGATCGGATTAAAGCTGTTGGATTGGATCAAATCTTGAAATCAAGATGTTCAAAAGAAGAAAAAGACTTCCAAAACATGATTAGATCAGGTATTTAAATCCTGGTTTTGATACAGACTAAAGCTCCAGTTTTTGATGTTCAGAATTTGAGAAGATTGAGATAACTTAGATCCCAAAATCAGGATGATCCTGATCCAAGCAAGAGGGCTGAATTAAATCTGAATTACAGGAACAAATTGTCATGTCATTTTAAAACTGGTCAGATAAAACAACAGTTTTTCAATTATCCTGATATTTCAGATACTATTGTTTATTTTCCTCTGGGTTTTGTTGAATTGATACAGTGATGTAGTCGATAAAGTCGACATTAAGGTCGATAAAAGAGAAGGATTTCCCATGTGATCAACTCCAGAATTCATGTGTTTGTCTGTAAGTGAAGTAAAACGTTTCATTGCATTTCATTTTTATTACTTTAAGGAGACAGAACGGAGACATGATCTGTTTGGAGGTACCTTTAAGACCGCACTTATGATAAACAGATGAACCAGGGATCGATTCACAGCTTGTCAGACTTTCCTCTCCATCTCCAGAAGAGTACAGTATACTCAAATGTTTGTTTAAAAGGAGACTGAATTTACTAATTATAAAAATGAGTCAGGGAACCCACTTTTACACAAGAAAAGAAGTCATTGTAAAGCATTAAAACCTTCATCTTCAGGCTCCAAACGCATTCAAAGTAAAAGAAAAAGTGTTTTCTGCAGTGATGCTGCTCTTCGATTTCCGTTGTTTGAAATGCCTGATGGGAAATTCTCGCTTCGGCAGCCACATTAAGTAAACCACGACCTCTTATCCAGGCGTCAGTCTGAGGACTGATGGGGCTTCTTTCTGGTCAGGGTCCAGCTCAGAGGAAAGGGCGAGAACGCAAAAAAGGGAGGATACAGTTGAAACTACAGGGGTTTTAAATACGGTGAAATACAGAGTAGTATGTGATGAATGAAAACAGCTGATATCATTGATTCCTGCTATACAGGTTTGATTATAACATATTGAAAATATATATCTCCTACAGGAAGATATATATTTCTTTCATTTTTTCTGTCTCAATAAGTTAGTTTTTTTTAATTTGTGATCATCACAGTGACTTTTCTGGTCACTAGTGCCATCCAGTGGCTTCTGAAGAATGACAGCGTTTATTTTTGATTGTCTGAAATGTGTAAATACATGATTATCATGTTCATTTGAATGACCTTGTATCAGCATATTTTTTGTTCAGTGGTCATTATGTGTTACTTTCATTAACATTATTGTTATTATTATTATTATTTTATTTTTTTGCCATTGTTGATGTTTTTTGGGTGTGGGTGTGTCGGCGGGTCAAATCTGTAACATATCAGTTATTTGCCCTTTCTCAAAAAAACAAATGTTCAGTCAGCAGCTAACATTCCAGCTCGTGGTGTATTTGTTGATGAAGTTGCGATTAAGAGCTTAAAAACATGATACGAACTAACGGGGGGCTCGTGTAAAATGAAGTGTAATATATTTGTGTTTAACCAAGGCTGACGTGTTAACGTTAGCGTTAATGTTAGCATTGACTCAGGTTGACAGTGTCTGAAGAAAACTACATCAAGCCAGCTTTGAGGAAAGAACAACAGCCTTATCTTTAGTTGCTTTTCAATAGTTGTCAGAAGCCCCAGGGTACTTGAACTCACCACGAATAAGGCAACAGGGACATTCAGATGAAAGGGAGTACATGTACAATATTTAAAAACCAGAGGTAAGATTCTCTGAACTATGGAGAGATGCCATATGAAGCTGAACATGATGTGTAGAGGAGAAACGGAGGAGGAAAACCGTAAAGAAAAACAGTCAAAGCTGACAAACAAAGGCCGAGTTAGCAGCGGTACAAAAGGTCAGATCTTTCCTCTTCGTGACAGATTTCATCTTGTGGTTGCCCACACAGGAGGAAACCTTGAAACATTGATTTTCCACATTGATTTTTCTCTACGCGAGTGAAAAATCCCACCTCTTGCATCGTTGCAAAACGGAGGCCTGGAGGCCTCAAAAGAACAGATGTTTTAATTTCAGACAGCCTTAATTAACTAAATTAGAAAAGTGTATGGTTAAATGACGGAGTGGATGTTTTGTATGTTTTCAAATATAACTGCTGATGTCAGATGTGAGGAAATCAAAGGGAAAGAGGTGTGTAAACTTTTTTTTGAGGATTAAAAGCCTAGAACATCAAGCCATCACTTCAAGTTTGTTTCAGAACAAAGATGAACCCAAAGGTCATGACGATATCTTTCATAACATGTGATCAGGAACGTCTGAATGCAGGATACAGGATCACATTTTCACTGCGTGCAAGGACACAATCAGTTAAAAAGAGATGTAGGTTACCAGTGTCTGTGTGACTTTTGCTCTAGAACGTGCTCCTTGCCATGTTTTCAGTCTGCAGTTTACGGGCGGGACAGACTGTTTGTGAAAAGGAGAGCTTTCATACGAGGAGAGGCCTCCACAAAGGAGATCCTTCGGGATGTGAAAATGAAGAACGCATTGTGGAGAAATCAAAATATGTACAAATGTTTTCTACGCGCAGTATGTACAGTTGTGTACTGTCAGCTATATTTGGCAAATTTGAGAATTTAAAAAAAGAGCAGTACAGTTAGATACTAGTTTGTATGTTTCCAGTTTTTTATTTAAGTTTTTTTTTTCCTGTTTTGTAAAAGCGGTGTCTACTATGCAAACTTGGCATTGGTTATCATGATAGAAGTCTATAACTAGAGCTGTTATAAGTGCTTGTAAGTGCATTTTTTTATTTTACTATCAGGGGTGAATTGATTTGATTAGTGCGGAGTAGTGTTGGTCCATTTTCGCTGATTCTGGCACGCTTCATGATTCTTGCTCTACCTTGCTGATCGCTCGCCTCTCTATCTCTAATTGTTTTCTGTACAAAGTGTAAGAAAGAATTTTTAAGACAATTAATAAATTATATTTATAAGCAACGCTGAAACGATCTGTGTCCATGGTGGATTTTTTTCTGCAGAACAATTGTACCATTACATTTCTTAAATTTGGCACCACTACAGATTGAAGATTGAGTATTTACTACGAAATTAAGTATATAAATAATAAATGACATAGGACCAAGTATGGACCCTTGTGGGACTCCCATTTTGAATATTTATTCAACTAGATACTAGATCATGAAATTGAACAGATTGCACTCGCCTACTTTTTTCACGGATACACCAGCAGTGTAAGATAGCTAAGGAATTATTTGAGTTGTAAATCAAGCAAAGCTACTCTAGAGTTTCAGAGTGAAATGATAAAACATGAAAACAAGCATAACATGAGCTCTTTAACCTTGAGTGTATACATTAGATTTGCAATACCCTTCTGTTGCTCCACTTTCTTTCTGTCAAATTCATATTTACAGGCCTCAAACTCAATAACTAGCTGGAAGAAGAAGCCTGAAGGGGGGAAAGTGGAAACAGAAAATCTTTGTGGTGTCACTGTTTAACATGCTGTGCGGCCCAGCAGCACCTGTGGGTCGTAATGAGGCGAGGCTCCTTTTTAAAAAGAAGAAAATATGGAGAGCGTGTCTTAACAGTTAGAAGCACTGCCAAGAGACTTGTTAGTATGCACCTTGTTCAGCCACCACAAACTGAGCATCCGCCATGTGGAGCAGTGGAACACTTTATGGGACAATGTTCAACCTTTTACTGGATAAAAACACAGTGTTCCACTACAGTAGGTGAAGATTTAAAAAAAAAAAAAAAAAAAAAAAAAAAAAGGCACATCAACCAAAGGGAAGGAAAGGGCATGTAGAACAAAACTATTCTGCCACTGTGACTAATCATCCGCATATTTTAGTTGGCATAATGGAGTTAAAAAAGTCGAAAGGAATGGAATTATGCCATTTTGGCACAATCGTAACTGGCATTGCTCTGATGCCAGGCTAATGTGGAAGACATAGCAGTGTGCAAGCTGTGGTAATGAAAGGTGTTCAGACATTAACTATTTCATACTGCTGTTCAAGCTTCCTCTTACTTGACTACTTCTAAACAACAATTTATACTAGCCAGGGAAGTCGCCTGATAGAACCACGAAGATCAGTTGTAAAGACTCTGTAGAAGGGTTATCACACTACCACATTCTGACACGTCAGTAAAAAATCAAACTAGGCAACAAGAACAAGAAGTCCTAGGCACCCAGTGTTGGGCAACTTCTGGTTTTTAAATCATCCAAAAATTGCAGGCAAACTCCTGCACACTGTCTTAATTGCACAAATACATTGGCAAAATTTTGGTACATCAGAATAAAAATCAGGGGACAGTGCAAATTATGCAGTTGAGATTCCCACATTTGGGGAGTTTGCACAGATCAGCCCTGCCATAGTGCAATGGCTGGGCCTCTCCATGGGTGAACCACCTTCTTGATCATGATACCTCCCCTGACCAGCAACAGTGTCGAAGCATTTGTGCATCTTAGATTTCTTCTGGAAATGTAACTTTTGCACTTTGATTGGATGCAAAAAGGACTGGAGAAAAGCCAGTATGCCAACCTGTGAATCTGAATGGACCACTGCTGCTCTTTGGTTTGCTCATGGCATTTTGGATTTAAAATATAACTGAGGATCTCTATTTTTAAAAAAAGCTGGTGTACTTTTCCATACTTTCGATCATTCTTACAACGGGACTATATATCATTTTAAAACACGAGGTATCAAAAAGTATCCAAAGTTTAACCACCTTACACCGCAGCAATTTGATTCCAGAGCTGCGAAAAGTTTATTATGTTGAGAGAGTTCAGCTTGTACTTTCATTTACGAGCATGAGGCCGTGTGGTGGTGAGAAAACAGTGACCTTGTGATGTCCACGGGAGGAATCTCACAATGTGGGGATGGCTGAAGATGTTTCAAATATGTATATTTTTTTAGAGTTATATCTTCTTCTGTTACCACTTCTTCTTCCGACACAATTCAACACATTTACAGTAGATCTTTAGAAGTCACACTACAGTTAGGAGATTGCCTTGTCAGACTCCCTCCTGTAATTACTGTGGAGCACCTACAGGTGGCAGCGTTCTGCTTCACTGGCTCCAGTCCTGTAGCAGCGCCTGCTCTCCTCATGTAGGGCAAGGAAACACTCACATATAGAGGCTCGACCCAGCAAATATTTCTGACATAAACACTTTATTTTTTCAACATTAAGTATTAAAGAGTTTGAATTTTACATGGAAAAATCTGTTAGCAACTTTCCTAACCGACCCAAACTCAAAAATACACAAATTCTTCAGTGTCTACAAACATAACCAGCATAAACAGAACTTTTAAAGCATCAAAATACACATTTGTTGTTTTTTTTCTCTCTGTCACATAGTGTCAGTCAGTCATTGGAACCAAAAACAGTCAGAAAAAGAGTGACAAAAAAAAGTGTTCAGTCCAATTCACGACATACAGGCAGTAGTGGAGGGTCAGTGTTTCCAGAGGAGGTGTCATGCTGCGATAACGCACATCCTTTTCGTTCTATCAGTCGGACCTTCATCTACAGGTAAGGTAGCTTTCACAGAAAGCACTCATAGATTATTCCACTCACTGGTCAGTAGCTTGTTTGTGTTTCTCTGCAGCTACAAGGCCAAATTCAATCTATTTCTCCAACAGGAGCAGGAAGCTGCTTTTAGAGTCCTTGTACTAGTCTGAAATGAAAACGGCACTCCACACAGAGCCTCTGTAGGGCCTTTGTAGTTTAAGTTTACTATTGTAGTCCTGTTCCATGTTTTTCAATGACAGGGGAGTTCTAGGCATCTACATTCAAAGTTTGTGATCCTCCGATCTCTGAGCGATGATCTTGCTTCCTGTGTCTCCTTAAGGACGAAAAAAAAGAAAGTGGGGCCTCGACCAGCGCCAGTGTGATAGTTAATGCCCTTTCAATGTGTGAGGAAAAAAACCACACACACCTGGCAGTATCCGCTCACAGCTTGATGTCCTGTGATTCTGACATCTTTGCAAGTGTCTTTTTGACCCGTAGGGCTGTGAGGCGGCAGGCGGGGCTGTGGGCCCAGCACTCTGTCATCAGCTTCCCCATCTGTCTCAAACACTGAGGAGAGACATGTTAACATGTTAGAGAGGTCATTCATGTGTCTGATTCTTTATGTCTCTGGAGAACATTTCAAAACGTTTTACCTCGTCGCTGGTCCATCGGTTAGGAAAGGATGGTCGTAGTTTCTTGATGCACACCACCTCTCTCATGTCTTCATATGACGGGTCTGTGGGAACCAACTCATGGTACGGTAACTGGTACTCTTCAAGGATCCCTACAATGAGAAAGGGACAGAAGAAAGACTTGGGGATGTGAGCAGAGCATGTATCAGACGCTACTCGCAACATGGACTCGAGCGGTAGAGACTAGAGAGCGTAGATCATCCACTAGTTTATCCATCTTACTTGCCGATTGTAGAGGGATAAATAAAAGGATATCAAAGAAAAAACAGACTGTTTTAAAATTTTAAAAACAGTCTGCCAATATACCTGGGCGGTTGTAAATATGCCCGCACAGTTTTTCTTTGCTTTAGATTTGATAATGTCTGATAGAAAGGAGCGCTAATTTTCCAGTAATCCAAACTGTAAGACCATCAAAAAGGCACAAGGAGAGCAGCCTACTTTCTTTAAGAAGGGTGTGCAAAGACCGTAGACTGTAAATATTAATGTTTGAAGCCTGAGTTACGTCAGCCTTCTGTTACTGCAGGGGGCTCTGGAGGCTCATCAGCAGCAGCCGCCATGTTGGAAATGCTGTCTCAGCCTAACTTTCAGTCAATCTAACGACAGGCTGAGAGCTGGAGCTGAGGCGGGTTTGAAGCCTCTTGACAAACCGTTACATCGCGCCCACCTGTCAATCATGTTAGCTATGCACCTAACTATGAATAACTTGTTTTCAAACTCAAATCACTCGACAAACAGCAGGATTTTGCACTTCCACAAAGGCTTCATTTTTCAAGACCGGAGGTTGCCGCTTGGCAAAGACACACACAAAAAAGTAGTTTACCTCCTGAGACACAACGTCGAGCGATTTCCCAGAGAATGAGCCCGAAGCTGTACATGTCGGCCATGATGTACGACTGAAAATGACTCCTGTTCAGAGTCTCATCCAGCACCTCTGGAGGCATGTAGCGCTTTGTACCCACCCGGGTGTTGGGAGGGATGTCTACCTCGTTGGTGTCACTGCAGGGATGAAGATATTAGACGGGGACAATTAGAAAATGGAAGAACCAATAATCCACTGACATCTTTCAAAATATTACAGCTCACAATCATCTGATTATAAATCATCTTCCTGATTCTCTCACCTGATAAACTTGACTGCCAGTCCCAGGTCGGCTATACAGCAGGTCCCGTTTCTTTTCACCAGAATGTTCTTACTCTTCAGATCCCTGTGGGCGATGGCAGGTTTCCCCTGGGTGCCAAAGATCTCAGTGTGAAGGTGACAGAGTCCCGACACGGATGAGTAGGCCAGCCTCAGCATGGCTTTACTGTCCAGAGTGGTGGATTTGAGGTAGTCGTACAGAGAGCCGTTTTCATGGTAGTCTGTGATCAGGTAGAGCTGAGTCCAGGAGCCGGTTCCTTTGATATCAGCGGCTATAAAACCTGTGAATGGGAGGGAAGGGGGCGAGGAGAGAGAGGGAGAGAGCCGCAGTGAGGTCACTCTGTAAATCACAACTATTTTAGTGCAGCTTCATGTGAGGCAGACTTTAGAAAACTTAATGTAGCCTCCGGTTGTCGACGCATTATGCACCGCAGCATCTCGTCTGTCTCCTCGTTTACTGGCAAGTGATCTTTTGCTCCTGTGCTTAATTACTATGCGTCTTGTGCTGTTTAATTATGCAAGCTTGAGTCTGCAGTCAGTTGTTGTCTACTTTATAATTGTGTGTGTGTTGTGGTGTTCGGTCTCCTGGCTATAATTGATCTGTTTTGGTATGCTGTGTGGTACAGCATAGTTAAGGACTGGTAAGTTCAATTCCAAGACTTTTTATTGGTTTGTTTTTCACTTTTTGCCTGCTAGTTCATGTAGTTCTTTTTAAATAAACCACCTATCGATACACCAGTTCATCCATTTATGTGTCTATGAATGAAGTGTGTCGAAATTTAGAAAAAACAGATCTAAAGATGAACAGACAGATGCCTTCACAAGACAGAAAGCGTTCTTCTTACCCAGTATGTTCTCGTGTCTCATCAGGACGGTCTGGTAAATCTCCGTCTCTCTGAACCAGCTGGCCTCCTCGGTGGTGAAGAAAACTTTGACGGCCACTTTCTCTCCCCTCCATCTTCCCATCCACACCTCGCCGTACCTCCCCTTGCCTATCTGCTTCACCATCTGGATCTGCTTGGCTATCGTTCTCTGCACCTGTCGAGGAGAAGGGGATGGAGACGGTTGAGTTTTTCACCCTGCCAGCCCACCTCGTAAATTCCCATAGCGAGAAGGCGGGGCTGATGATGTTCATATTACGACTGGTGCAATCTTCATGCACCAAATGAAGCTGCTTCATTTTCTTTTCTGCTCGCCATTTTGTACTTCTCCACTCATTCATGGAGACTGTGAATATGTCGAATAACATGTGGCTTTGATGAAAAATGCAAAAGCTGTCTCCCGCTGTGAGGGACCTGCAGAGGCGCTGCTTGTCAACAGGCAACCTGCGGCCCCAGACCAGTAGGGGGCCCCCAAAGCAGCGGCCTAAAATGTGCAAATTGCAAAGTGCCCCATCTGACAGCACTCATTCTCGTTGCTGAATGAATTGAGTTTTGCCTAGGGCCCCAACAAGCTCTAGAATCGTCACTAGGGAGATGTGAGCATATGCAACTCAGGAAGATTTCAATGTCACACAGTCCTTACATTTTCTAGAAATTTCCAGGAGTGCACGTGTGAAAAGGGCTTCAGAATAGACTTAAGATTCATGATTGTTTTCCCCTTTTTTTCAGCACATGAAGCACCAAATGTTTCATTAAGAAGTCAAAAATGTAGGTTTTGTGACATCGATAAATAACTCTCCTTGTATAAGATTGATTTCATTTTTCTTTCGTCTTCTTCAACACTGAAGTGCATTAAAACACTCAAATCTTATAGTATGTCTTAAAATCATCCACCATTTCCTCTCCAAACAATGTAGTAAATAAAAAAATACATGACTTAAAATCTTATGAGGTATGATGCCATGCGTCCTTCTGACTGACTGTATCTCTCAATGATTTTATAAACTACTTTTTCGTCAATAACTTTTCTGCACTCTTGTAAAGCACTTTGAACTGCAATTTAATTTGTCTGAAAGGTGCTATATAAATAAAGTTTGATTGATTGATTGATATCTCAGTGCATCTGTTTTTATTGAACAGGAATTTGAGCTGCAATTTAAGAGTCTCACCAACAGAGGGAGCCCTGAGCCTGAGCCTGAGCTCTGAGACTGCTCTATCAGGTCCTTCAGAGACTCTCCGGGGGGAATGTAGGTATCATCCTGCTCCAGGCCGATGCTGTACCGAGGACGGGACTCCTGTCGCTTATACCTGTACACACACACACACACACACACACACACACACACACACACACACACACACACACACACACACAGAGAGAGAGAGAGAGAGAGACAGTGAGCTTACAATCTAACAAGAAGAAAACAAACAGGTTGAAGATGATGTGACAAAGGGAATAAAACAATTAAGGAGGCACACAGTACGCTGCATGCATGAGCAGTTTAACAGATTTAAAGATGAGGCTGTCTACTGGAAGGAAAGGAGTGAATGATGTTTGTGTTTGTGAGAGTTTCATAGGAAAGTGGAATTACCTGAAGTAGCAGAAGACAATGATGACGGCCAGGATAATGCTGCACACGGTGACTGAGATCAGCAAGGCCAAGTGGTGGATCTTTCCATCTACATAGACTGGAGGGGAGGGGGGGGGGGCAGGAAGGGGAGAAATAGAGAGGTGAGGATAAAGTCAGCAGGGACAGAAGAATATAAGGGGCCAGAGAATATTTGTCATTTCTCTTTGACTCCTGATGAGCCACACTAATCTCATCAAAGGGCAACATCCAGATATTTTGTGAGGAAATCATTTTCTGCAGCACGTCTGATATCCCCGATGTACAAAAAGGGCGAGCCACAGAAAGAACATTACACCGAGAGATCAGTCATCCTCACAAGTCATTGGGAAAAGACTGGTGTACAGTAAATCAAGTACAAATCATATTTCACTCATCAATTTTTCATTTTCTGCTGGCACACACTCTGTTCCCTCGGGGGCCCCCAGTCGACAGCGAGAGGAAGCCCTCGGTATTAGTCGATGAATTCTCTTTCCTGATCTCCTCTGATAGGGTTTCAGATTGATGACTGTTGCCCCCCGGTGTCTGCTGCTGCGGCTCGTGATTTCCCTGGGAATCTAAGCTTACTGTCTCTCCAATACACAAAAGGCTTCTCACACTCACACATGGAGGATAGTGTTTTACACAGCAGAGACCTCAGCAGCTACTGCGAGCTGCACGACAGCTTTGACAGCAACTCCCCCCCCCACCACTTTAGCTGTCTTTTGACTCTGACAAAGTCATGCTATCTCTATCTGTGAATCCTGTGTGCTAACACTGTCAGCCACAGTTCTGGGCCCCTGTCTGGATCACTGTCCTGTCACCTGCCAACCGGACGACAAGGGGGGAACCTCAGCGGGTCTCTTTCTTGTGTTTCATGTTGCAGAAAAGACGGGAGGAGAAAGATGAACTTACGAGGCGGCTTCAGCGGTGGCAGCGTGGGATGCAGGTTTTTATTACAGTAATCCTGGTCCGTGCAGCACTCCAGAGATCTCCTCTGACGGGAGTTCCCCGTATCCTGGAAGACAGAGAAGAAGAGTATTTTTACATCGCAGGTTCTTTTCCACCTTTTTCTGTTCAATCAACCGATTACCCAAGATATCCAACATTCAATTATGACGACTGAATAAATGCTCCTGTTGTTTAATCGACAGCCACTTCATTAAATATGAAGAGGATCGTCATGATACCAGATTTATAAACTAACAATGACACTATAGATAAATGTTTCTACACCACCGCAACTAAAATAAAAGTTCTAGACGCACATTATCGAATAAATTCTCATTTTTAATTACCAAATTTTGCAAACAAACTCCTGCATGTTGTCTAATTTGCACACAAAAAATTGGCAACATTTCGTTATATGCAATGTTTTTGTGCAATTTTTTAACTCTTCCTTTTTTGAGTTAAAGGCTCTAGTCCCTCAATTAAACAACTTCTATACACGAGGGGAGGAGTCAGCCGGCCGTCCTGGCGATGTAAACAAACTGAAGATAGGACTCTGAAAACTCTGAAAGCATCACAGACAGTGGGACTCGGGTGTTACACCCATTGTAGACAGTCATGACTCACAGAGTTATTTTCAGAGGATATATTGATTTAGTGTGAAAAATCCCATATAAAGCCTTTAATGCGGAGAATCCACAAAAAGTGGATTCAAAGTATTTTAAATGAAGATGCAGTTGTCTTCAACACGTTCCTCTTTTGATCCATGTTTTATAGTTTATGTAAATATCTTATTAGACGATAAAACAAATCTCCACTGAGACGTCAATCAGCAATACATTTAGATGTTTATTGAAGCTCCAAACCAAAAAAATGTTTGTCCAAAAATAAATGACTTATAAGGAACTGAAACTAAATATATAGACACAACAGTCCTGTCAGTCATCTACTTTCTTGTGATTCTTCACATCCACGTTGAATTAGTCACTGACAGATAGAAGAAGATAGAAAAGTGTGACAGTTTCTACTCACCCTGCACTGAAACTCTGATCCGACCAGCCCGAGGCATCCTGCAGTCAACACGGGTACCCCTCCCTCCTCCTCCACCATGGTGAAACAGTAACCATCCGTCCTGAAACACAAAGAGAAGCTACACTAACTGCAAAACATATAAAAGCCCCGTCTGTGGATGCATGAGCGATTTCCCCTCCAAATATAGATTTTTACTTTCTGTTTTATTTTAGTCTCCAGTGCAGGTAAGATGGTGATCAGTGTGTAAGCTTGTGCACATGTTTCCAGCAGTACCTGCATGTGTTATTGGTGGAATCGTCAGGACAGTGATGGTAACAGTGACACCACAGCAGTCTTTGTGAGGATGAAGCGGGAGCTGTGCTGCCACTCGCCTCCTTCCCACTCTCCACAGCCTCCTTATTGGACGCTTTCAGCAGCATACTGTCCAATATGTTTCCTATAAAAAAACAAAGAAGGAGACAGTTAGTTGGGCAAGAGAAAAACACAAATCTATGGGCCGCCAGTAGCCAAGTGGTTAGAGTGCGAGCCCCATGTACGGAGGCTATAGTCCATCAACCAAGCGGCTCAGGTTTGAATCTGACCTCTGGTACCTTTCCCTCATGTCATTCCCCTCTCTCTCTCTCTTTACCCCATTTCTGACTCTGTCCACTGACCTATCTCTAAAAATAAAGGCATAAAAAAAAACCCCATGAATCATAGAGGGTGCATCTTTACACAGGAAGCAGCACCAACACCGCCGGGGGGGGTCAGCGTTTTCTATTATTAATGCTATCATATGTATGGACTCATGCTGCTGGGGGCTGTTTAGAGAAGATCTGCAAAATAAAAATAAAAAACAGCAGGATGTAGTAAGCTTCATGCATAATGAAAACCACGAGTCGAACAAAAAGGTCTATTAGGACTGAGGGAAAAAAATGTGCAACAACTTTTAGAGTGCAAAGAGATGAGTCATGTATTTAAAAATTCAGTGAAATGTAAAAAAAATAAGAAAGATGAGCTAGACCTCCAGGATAAGAGAAAAACATGCAATGTGCAATAATATTATTCAAACTAGCAATTATAAATGGAGTGTGATCAATGCACACAAATTGAAGCATGCATGTTAGCTTTTTTTAAGTCTCTAAAGTCTACACGCTGGTTTTTAGGCATTAAACAATGTGTGTGTGTGTGTGTGTGTGTGTGTGTGTGTGTGTGTGTGTGTGTGTGTGTGTGTGCAAATTGTTTTTTTTTTTTATTGATTCCAAAATATTTTTTCCCCTCACTCAATTGGCACCAATTAATCTGAGGGCAGCCAATAGCTAGCTTGATTTTCATCCAGCTGATAAGAAAGAGTGTGACAGAGTGAACAACAACTCGGAAACTCAGAAAATATAATTATTATTATAATAATTTGCCCACTTGACGTCAGAATCGTCATCACATGAGGAGGGAAAAATATTTTTAGTTAATTCATGTATTGCACATCAACATTTTGCTCAAATATAACTTGTAACAGAGACATTTTACAGGTTTGACTTTATCACAGTGTTGGTCAGTCTGTGGGCTTGACTCACACTGTGTAGAAATAAAAATATTTTATTCTTATGTGACAAAACAGTTCTTGATTTAGTTTAATTTTGTGGACATGATATGAAGTTAAAAAAAGTGAAATCTCAAAATATTGTATCGCAATCCTCAGCATATCGCAATATGTTTAAAATTGCAATAATATTGTTTTGTGACTCGAGTGTCAAGATTATATGGTATCGTGGGGCCTCTGGTGACTCCCACCCCTAGTTATTACAACGTCAGTGCTGAGGCTCACGCTGCTCTCATGCACCGCAACAATTTCTGTTCCGTCTGATCATGCAGTGATGCATCATTAAGCCTTATACAATGCTGAAACATTCAATATGAATCAGTCAAATGTTATTTCTGTCTTCTAAATATAGGTTATTTGTTGCCTGCGTTACAATACTAAATGCTCTTTGCCTTGCTCCTGCAGCTGCTTGGAGCTTTTCCTAAGCCACATCAGCATCCACCTGCAGGTTTTGTGTAAAGTTCCCCCAGGGGGGACCACATTTAATATCTCTGCTCTCCAGTTCCCCGTCGCTGTGCTGGTCTAGGCTCGCCAAGACGGAGAATATAAACTCTGTATTGACAGGATGAATCTATTCCACATGAGTTGGCAGACCGAACAGGGAGCACAATACGACTCACATTATGGAGACACAATTGAATCCGCCAAAATAAAAAAAAATGAATAAATAACAGGGAAATGGAAAAAAGGAAATTCAAGAAAGAAAAATATGCAACAAAAAAAGTAACTCTGAGAACACCTGATACTGAGAAATGTGTCCACTCACAGCAAATGGTGTTTCTTCTACTCTTACAGCTGAGAGAACTAAGCCTTTGTATTCCCACTTATCAGATTTCAAAAGAGCACCTGTTTGTCACTTGAGGGAAAGAAAAGGATCACGGAAGTGTCTTTCCTTCATGGCTTTTAAGATTTTCATTCATTCCAGCGTGATCATTGAGACCAGATGCGGAACAGCTGCGAGCGCTGAGAGTCCTTCCTCTCTGAAATAAACTACAAGCAGATCTGACTTCTCTTAAACTCCTCTTCCTCAGTGCAGCATGTTTACGAGAGCACCGTTCTCACTAAGAATCTGGACCCGTAAACAGGACAGCATGTGAGACAGCGCACAGGGAACAAATCATTTCAACAAATGCTAAGCTGTCCTCACAGTGAAACGCTGACATGCAGTGCAGCGGAAGAGATGGAGATAACCTTCAAAGACATTTAAAGCACAAGAAGTGCATTGAGTTTCCTATAGGTCAGAAACTACAGAACATGTTTCACGCTGAGAGAAGAAATGGTTGTGTGTAGAAGTTCATATGTGGTGACTGTAAGCATTTTCTGGGCACTGGGAAACTTTAAAACTACCCTCAACTTCTCAGGAGTTTCTAATGTTCTTGTCGAGAGTTAATGTTATACCAGATTGTTCTCAAGTGAAACAGATTGAATATACTCTGTAATAAATATCCTCAAAATTAAAAACCAGTCATAGCTGTGACTGAGTTCCTGCTGAACGGGACAGACATGCTAGCGTTAGTGTGACTCAGCACTAGCATGGTGGCAAGGCCACTTCATAACTTACAAAACTCTGATTCAGTCTGGTGTTTTTTTCTATACAAGAAATGACCCCACATGGGGTAACGAAAGCCGTTTTCACATAAACCCTTTTCACACGTACGGAAAGCTTCTGAAAAATCTGGAGATTTGGCTACCCGGAGGTTCTTTAGGCTATGTGTGAACGCAAACAGCCGCATTTTTCGCGCAGACTTTACCCGGAGTTTCTCCAGCCAGGAATATCCTGCTGCGTTCTCACATCAGCTCACTCGGACTTGCTGCAGAAAAAATACGAGGGGTCTGACAGGAGAAACGTGGAAAAAATGTGGATGTTAGAGTTCACAGGAGTTTTTCAGGAGTTTTCTGCAAGTGTGAAAGCCGTATAGGTCTCCTATTTTTGGAAACAGGTATCGAAGCCCTATCGTATGGACTCTTGACAACTGTTACTGTATCTTTGATTTAATATTCTACTCTAAATAATAATCCCTTAAGCTAACTAGCCAGCAGGAGCCTTGTGTCCGCGGTGTGTCTCTCTCCGGGCTGCGACTAATGACAGACAAGGTGCTTTTTCACAAGTCAAATTACTAACAAAGTTGAACCGCTCATAAAGGAGCCTCACTAATGAACGACAAATTGGACGAGATGGAAACTTAAAAAAAAAGGTGCGGTGTATTTTCAGGGTGGTTACAGGCCGTCAGTCAAGTGTCAGATAATGGGGAGGTATCTTCTCTTTCATCTGAGCTCAGCTGTCTCTCACTACACATCAAAGAATTCCCTCCAGGGGACAAAACGCTTAGAGCTCCCTGACGGACTGAAACACACACACACACACACACACACATTTCCTCACACGTTAGCTTAATGTATGTGCATGTGTTTCAAATCCGTCGCGACATTTCTCTTGCTGTTTTTATGCTTTAGAGTTTGCCACTGATCTCAGGCTTTGATTTTTTTTTCCTTTGTGCTACAATCAAGGCGGCATTGCTCCGTTGTCTGCGCTCATTCTTTTGATTCATGTTAAGTTGCTAAATGTGAGCTAACACCAACGAAGAAGAAGCCCTGTGATGTGACGCGACGTCGGTTTTCTAACCTCTAGCAGGTTTAAATCCGTCTGCCGTCGTTACATCACTGAAGATAAAGTATGTGTAAAGTGAAATAGTCCTTCCTGATCTTCATAGAATATTATGAATTATTACAGTCTCTTTAAATATGTCATTTAAACCGTCAACGATAAAACAACTTTGGCAAATTCTTTCAGACAAGCGTCGTCATTTATAACCGAGCGCCTCCTAAATGTGTCTCTTGTACACACTGATAATGTGTTGACAATGCTGCGAGAGAGGGGCGGCGGGGTTTAAAGGGGTCACATTAACAATTGACCGATTTGAGAGAAAGGGAGCGAGGAAGAGTAGGAGGGGGGGGAGAAGAAAGGGGGGATTAACAAACGAGAAGTGACAGAGCTGCGGGGAACTGGTGGGCAGTTTAGCAGCACACAGAGGGGACAGAGCAGAGGCCACTGGCCTTTTCCACCCTTTCTCTCACTCCGTCTCCCCCTCCCTCCCTCCCTCACCTCCTCCGTCCTGCTCCCTAAAAGCTCACTCGCTCTGTGCCGAGCTCCCTCTCCCTCTTTTCTTTGTTCTATATCTTTTTCTTTCTTCTTTTCAACATTCAAACTAATTTGTGTTTTTTTCCTACATGCTTATTTTACCGCCGATCTATTCTTCTCATCTCCCACGCGGCTCCTTCTTCTCATCGTCCACTCTCTGTGCCCTGTCCTCCCTGCGTGAGTCCGCTGGATAGTCATGTAGGTGCTGCTGTGCTGTTGACAAAACACAAAGCCTTTCACATCCAGCCTGCACCTGGGATCCCTGGCTACTGCTCTGTGTGAGTGTGTAGGGGTGTGTGTGTGTGTGTGTGTGTGTGTGTGTGTGTGTGTGGGAGAAAGACAGTGGGAGATAGATGATAGATAACAAAGAGGGGGTATAAAAAGAAAGAAAAGCCACAGCACACACTGTAGACAAAATGTAGTCATGAATGCTTCTTCAGGAAAATTCAGGTTTTTGCTGCCAGCTAGTCAGCAAGTGTTTCAATTAGTGGACTTATCAATCTTCAAATGTCATCTCCCTGCTTGTCGTGCGATAGAGAGCACAGCTCAGAGGGAGCTCCACATACACACACAGTCAGACACGCACACACACACACACACACACACACACACACACACACACACACACACAGAGCGCTGCGCCTGTCCCATCTTGCCCCTGTAACACCTCTGCTACTAACCCTGCAGACGCTACAGAGGGGGGATCACTTCGCCCCCC